ACACAACTATGATACAGATATTCCTTGTTGTACTTTCAATACTGCCTAGATAAATGATGATATTGGCCTAAACTAACAGTATGGAACGTAATAGAAAACAGAAAATATAGACATATAATTTAGAACACAATGAATAGACTGAACATATTGGCTTACCTTCAAATAACCAAGAAGAAACACATCGATTAGTGGCCCAGTCTTTATTCGGAGCATTTCATATGAGTGAAATACAGAATAAGGCCGTTCTCTCTACCACCAATGCTCTCAGAGTTCGTGATATGGTCCTTGCACGTTCAATGGTCACTTCTTTAAACAATACTTACAAATGCTTGCTAATCTTCACTGCTGACTATCTAAAATCTTAAGATTACCTCGTAGCTTTGAAGACATTGAGAGTGCAGAAATGACCAGAGGTTATCTAACAGTTTTCTCGGAAGCGTGTTATCATAGAGTGATGTGTTTGCTTCTCTCTCCGGACATGTCGTCTTAACAGTTAGCACATAAAGGCTTATCAAGAAAACTTGGGAATGAGACGACGAGCGTATATCGATACTGACAGATTATAGACTTGGGCCGGACCATGCATGTAGTCTTAAAGCAACACATAATGCTAATTATCTTACAACTTGGAAAATGAAGATCAACAATAACTGAGACAGCGTTTAGTATTCTCGTTATTGAATAAAATATACAAAATGTGCTGTTTAGTCCTATTTTATAAAGTCACAATTATTTATATAAGTAAGAGGAAAATATGACGTATTTTAGAACTATGATACTAGCAACGAAAGGGTAAAAGTACAAAAAAAGCATGTCTTTGGCCAACTGTTGTGTAGCCAATAATATATTTAACCATCCTCCAAGGGAGTTAACTGACTACTATATGGAATTGCAGTCTCCATCCCTGCCAAGCTAGTGTATGGTTCGATGGAGCGCCACCACCACGCGGTGGGCTATGCTGGATGCTGTCCTTCTGCGTGCTTCCCAACTGACCAGTCAGAGCCCGTTTAATATCACATGCACTTAGACAATGCCATGGCGGAGGCCAATCAAGACGATCTCATAGATAATCAAGAACGTTATCACAATAAAACAGGCCTTATCTTATCCAAGTGCGTCCAGGATCATTTTGGGCACCATGAATAAAAGCCTGAAAAGATTTGGAAAAATATCTGCCCTGCCAGCTGACAGTACACAAGCTCTGCAAAGTCTGCAATCGACCGAAATCTCCATGAGGGCCGCCATGTATTATTGACGAACCGGATGTCGATGTCATTGCGCGATTTGATTACATTATGCATCTCCACGTTAGTCTAGCCAAAGTGAGACTTCCATTATTCCAGCCTGGTTCGATAATGGTGAAAACCTATCGCCCCTTGCTTCAGGAGAGAAGACAATAAATAGAACACTTGGGTTGGACCGTTTGGCAAACAAATCTAGCTGAGCTGGGAATACTTCAGTTGTATTGATCATGAATTAAACTGAGAACTTTGGTTCAGTTTCATACACCAGCTATTAACTGCAGTATACGGATCTGATAATGAGATCACGTCACGCACCACAGCTTCCCAGTGAATACTTCTGTTGCGTTTGTCTGGAATTTGTTGCGTTCAGTTCGACTGGACGCGTCGCATGTTTATCTGCGTGGTGCCAGGCTCTGCATTTACAGGCAACCATGGACGGCGAAGAGGCGGCTCATTGGTTTCATACGGCTGACGTCATTCAGGAGATGCATGACGTCATAGCTGCTGACGTCGGACCCAGTGTGCCTGCTCCTCATCATGTAATTCCTGCAAATCTCTCTTCGACAGGTCGCTGAACAAGGTAGAAAACCTCAAGTCATAACAAATATCATCCCATAATTAGATATACAAGTTAACACCGTTAATTCTTATCAGACATTTCATGACCATCAATAAACACATATAAATAAACAAATGGCTGAAATAGAACTTACTTTGCATGTTTTCTAGGTTATCGAGAATGACACTCGGGTATTTGGACAAGAAGATGCTCCACTAATGGTGAAGTGAAGTTTACACTGTGTAAATGCACCGGCAACGACACAAAAGCCTCTCTCAGGTCAATAAAACCGATTTTCTTTAATTATTTACATTCTAAAACACGAGACATGTCCACAAGGATGAGACAAAACAATCCCAATGACCCTTTGGTCAATATAGCGGTACCATGAAAGAGTATACTATGTCAGAAAGTAGATAATATATTGTAGGTATACCTGAGCGACTGACATGTAGATATCATAGGACCGTAAGCATTCTGTCATCTTTGTATACAGTTACACTGGAATATACAAGTGGGAACCTGAACCTTATGAATCCGGCATATATAGGTTTTGGAAAACTATCGTGTTAAACATGTTATCATTAATATATGTTTGTGAGTCGATTTTGAAAGGACGTGCTTCAATCAAAAGAATATTTCATGAATAACCCACACGTGAAAGGTTTGTGCGCCCAGCAGGTTCCTAAAAGTGCTATTGTATGACATGAAGGCTTGGCGGATCACCGCCCCTAATGTCGCGATGACCAGGTATAACAAGAACGCTAAGGATTTATGTTTCAGGTTATTATTGATTAGGTCTGGATCCATAATTACGACAGAGAAGGTTTCTCAGTAACCAGATCCTGAAGAAAGAATGACCACTCCGTTTAAAACAACAAAGTCATAATGTATATTGTTGATTCTTTACCGAGTCTATCAACGTGAAACGTCAAGGTACACTTGCTGCTGCCATCCATCAGGACTATGTTTCAGTTTCAGCAGTTTTGAGGGAATGAAAGATGCAAGCACCCGTTGACTAAACTTGTGTTCACGTTTCATTAAACATCAACACTTTCGTGGTCAGAGATCTACCGAGGGGCCAACAATAAGCTGATGCAGGCCTTGTTGACAGACATAATTTGACGAAGGATAGTTCACCTGAAGACTGACTGAGTTTGTTTTCACGCCGCTTTTGGCAATATTCCTTGGCATCAGGGCGGGGGCCATTACCAGGGAAATGGGCTTTTCTGAAGAACGGATGGAATAGAGTCTCTAATATTTTAAGTTTGATGTACGTTGGTTTCACCATGTTTTGATATCGTATGATCTGATATACTTGTATATGGTCACGTTGGCGTGTCTCCTCTGCTACTGCAGGTGGCCACGCGTGGAGTCAAAGCAGTGGGGTGGAGTCGACAGAACAGCTGTTTGTCAATGATGGTGTCAGGGCGTGGTCCTCAGGGTGGCGGCTGTTTGTGGTACGGTTGCAAACGTCTCGAAAATGTTCTGCACTACTACCCTACTCTCACCTGTCGCACATGACCTCATGCACCCAATGATATAGGGTAGTGTATCAGTTTTAGGAGTTCCCGTGACTAACACACCGACGTTCCTGGATAAAGAATACTGAGGAAGATCATCCTCGGTAACCCCTCCACCACAGGCCCTCGTGTCTTTGAAGATTCAAGATTATTATTTTTTTTGTGTTTTGAGATGACCCCCGACTCGAAATGCTGCACAGTACAACACCTTATCACAAGGCCGGACACTTCGGTATACCCCACCCGCTTGCTTTGCCGATCGCTACGCTACCATCGCATGTAATCGATTAAAAGGCTTGTGAACATAATCATGGATGATTGGCCTATCGATCACCTATGATGAAACCTACCAATCGATTGAAACCCGATTTTGACAATTCTTTATTGTTATTTCTGCAAGTCGATTGAAACCCGATTTTGACTCTCAACTAAACGATCTTGACACAAATGGATGACGATATGTCCGCACAAAACGGGATGTGGTCGAAGCAAGCCCTCTGATTGGTCAAACCTTGCAAATCTGCAATTCTTTATAAATTCGCGGGATTTCTTTCTTTCATCGACTGCTTAATGTAAGAATATATTTCGAGCAATGGCTTCTCAAAAGAATGCATAAGTTGTAAATGTCTCCTGAACAAGAATCAACCAACCAGAGGGCTTGCTTTGAGACCACACCCCGTTTGTGCGGACACATCATCATCCATTTGTGTCAAGATCATTTCGTTGAAGTCAAAATCGAGTTTCAATCGACTTGCAGAAATAACAATAAAGAATTGATAGTAGTAATCATGAGTGGGGCTCGATAGGCCAATCATCCATGAATATGTTTACATTACGTTTAAACGATTGCATGATGGTACATAGCGATCAGCAAAGCAGGCGATCAAGGGTGCACCGAAGTGTCCGTATATCATTATGTATTGTACTGTGAGTAGTGGTGGTCCGATTAATTGAAATAATCGAAGATTGGTCGCAGTGACTAAACGACCAAGCAATCGATCATGTTTTCTCATAATCGAACACAAACAATTCTGGAACACTTGTTTTCATTAACAGTATTTTCACTAGGTTGGTTTTGTGTTACATTTCACCAGCACTGAAGCTCGTTCCAAGTCATGATTGAATTTATCTTGAAGAATTTATGTTCCTCCCTACTAGTCACCCTTTAAAGATGTGAAATTTTGCCCAAAAACCCCAAAGAACTACATGTTTTTTTCCTTATTTTTGTGTGCATTAACACATTTCATAAATGACGCTAACCAATTATTTTCGATGATTGATCGGTTGTAATGAACCAATCATCAATTATGAGATTTTAACCAATTCCCACCACTACTATTTAATCCTAGCAAAAACACGAGGGCCTGTGCTCCACCACCCACATATTATGGTCATAGCGTGACCTGCCACACAATAAGTTAATATAAGTGAAAATCTAAACTTCATATATACCCGTCTCTACTTCAAAATGAGTGAAAACAATATAGTGAATGTTGTACGCTACGGTCTTATGAAAGAAAGTATCTAAATACATTTATTTTAATATATGATAATTCATATTTTAAGGAACCTCCGTTTGTAATCCGCAACTCAACGGGAGACTATTCTGGCTACAGCATTGATGTGCTTGATGCCATTTCAAAATAATCGGCTTTACCTACACCGTGAAAGGAATGCTATGACGGTCACTATGGTAACATGGACTCAAACAGCATATGGACCGGCTGCATCAGGAACATCGTTGAAGGGGTATGGTTGTAGTCCTCCGTCAACATTACAATCGTCGGTGAGAAACAGATTGAGAAGAACATGAAGAACTATAACATTGAAGCAATGGTTATGAAATGTTACTACTGATATATTACCGACATTGATAAAAATAATATGACATCATGTGAAGCAAAGGTGTTCCACCTCCACCAAAACCAGATCTGAGATGATTAAAGTTATCAGCAACACATTTCCTAAATGTTACTACATTAAATGTTATAATACGGGGCTAGGCTGTTTGATCATTTACATTTAATACGTAATAACGACAAAAACACTGTCTACCAAAAAGATACTTCCCACCATCTTTTTCAATTTAATTTTTAAATGATCTCACTTACTTTGCTTCCATATTGTTCTATGTCCAGCTTTCGTAATGAAATGAAGAAAAGCAGACATATGCAATTCTTTGATAATTTCGAAATGAAATAGATGTACTGATTAATTCTTCATAGCCTATTGGATACCCTCATGACATTATCGTTACTGCAATCATTCCCTCTGTTCAGTGATTTTAAATTGACGCTGGTAGTTTACAGAGAGTATTGCGACGTGAAAGAATAAAACAAACAAGCATACATTCCACTGGTAAAATATCTCCCTAGGACTCTGACATCATAGCAGGCGCTCTGACAGTGACGGCAGACAGAGAAGACGTGGTGGACTTCACCCTCCCCTACTACGACTTCGCAGGTATACAGATCGTCATGAAGAAACAAAATCGGCAAATCAGTTTGTTCTACTTCGCCGACGTCTTCACTCCTCTGGCCTGGCTGTGTCTGGGCGTGGTCATCGCAGTGACCAGCATCATTCTACTGTTGTTTGACCGCTACACGCCCACTAGGGCGAAGGACTCGACACTGAAGGAAGAGGTGGTCGACAAAAAGGCTTTCGATTTGAAGGAGAGCATCTGGTTCGTGATGGGATCCCTCACCATGTCCGGTTAGTTAGCTGTGGGATACTTGAAGGTCCTGTCCCATTTGTTTCTGCGAATGTATCCCTGTGGATTTGTCTTAACGCCGATGTGAACATAGGGCAGCTTGATTTGAGGGGAAGTCTAAGGTAGTCTTACCACGTTGGTGAAGCCACTCAGAAACCATTCAGTACAAACCGGTTTTATAGTGCACGAACGTCTCAACCAAAGGGATGCAACTCTGTAAAGCCAGTTGATTCTGTCGAGGTATGATAACACATAATCAGTCAGTTCACACACTGTGACCCTCACTTCCTGCTAGTTATCTCTGATGGGGCTGAAGGGGTCGTGGCCATCAGGTATTACGGATGTACAGCGGGTACCTGTTTTTGCATTGAAATCGACCCTGAACAGGATCTCAGTACAAAACTGTTGATCCTGGGCGAGTCCCTTATACATAATAACGAAACGTCTTTCTTTCGGCTTTGCCTGTGTTGTGCGAATCATTCTTTGATCAAATATGATGCACTTGTATTCTAAGAATTTAGTGAGGGTACATTTCAATACACGGAAATGTACCTGGAACACATCTCTAATACCGATACCACAACGGTCCCTGGAACCGGAAGTTACGTACCTGAAGCACCACTTACAGCGAACCCTTCAGAAATACTTGGACTTTTCTATCCAGGTTTATGTCTAGGCTGGGTGGCTGGTTTCAAGATACGAGCAACGTTATAAACACTAGGGCTGGTGGGAGAACAAGGTTTTTGATATTAAAAGGAATGTTAATTGGGTGTCCTGAAGTATATCTGATTGTTTTTCCCTTCCGCTCCAGGGGCAGGTGTTCCTCCTAAAAGCTTTTCCGCACGCCTCCTGGTCGCTGGATTCTGGTTCTTCTCTATCATCATGATGTCCACGTTCACCGCCAACCTGGCCGCTTTCCTCACCGTGTCCCGCATGGGCGTCGCCATCAGCTCCATGACGGAGCTAGCCTCGCAGTCCGACATCAGGTACTCCGTGGTCGCCGATTCCTCAGTGATGACCTACTTTAAGAGAATGGCTGCCATTGAGGAGAGCTTCTACACCATCTGGAAGGACATGAGCATGGGCGGTGGGAACAACAGGTGAATATGTGAACACCAACATCAGAGAATAACCAGTCTCGACCACCCACCGATTGTAACACAAATAGTAAGATAAGAATTGACCAATTGTTTAGAGTGAACGTATTTAACTTTGCTTTGCCCCTAAACCATATCGGGAGGTAAATTCAATCGCCAGCTCACATTCCGTGTTATCCTACTGATACTTTTTGGGTTCAACTTGTTTATTACATGTTCTTATCAGTTTCAGAAAACACGAATAGCCTTATAGGATAAGCATCGGGTTTAATGGGCACTTGTGTCTCTGATTCCACACGGATTATTACGTAACACTCTTTGAACCATTGGTTTTCGCAAGAGTTACTCTGAAAAGGCTGCCACAGTACAAACTCATCTTTTTTCATCTCGTTGGTGACCCCCCTCTAGTTCGTCACTGTGACGGCCTGTCCTATATAGGTCTTCAGGGTGTAGGTCGGACCTACGACCTAGTACGATACCTGTTCTATGTCCTATCTAATAAATTACGTTGATATTCTGCCGTATCCAGTACGCCACGTTTCTGGTCTGTCCTGTCCAGACGTCACTGGTATGCATGGTCTAGTACTGTACGTTGATAGCCTGCCCTACCTAGTGCTTCAGGTTTAAGGTCTGTCCTACGTTGTGCTTTAGGTTGATGGTCTGTCCTACCTAGTGCTTCAGGTTTAAGGTCTGCCCTACCTAGTGCTTCGGGTTTAAGGTCTGTCCTACCTAGTGCTTCAGGTTTAAGGTCTGTCCTACCTAGTGCTTCAGGTTTAAGGTCTGTCCTACCTAGTGCTTCAGGTTTAAGGGCTGTCCTACCTAGTGCTTCAGGTTTAAGATCTGTCTTACCTAGTGCTTCAGGTTTAAGGTCTGTCCTACCTAGTGCTTCAGGTTTAAGGTCTGTCCTACCTAGTGCTTCAGATTTAAGGTCTGTCCTACCTAGTGCTTCAGGTTTAAGGTCTGTCCTACCTAGTGCTTCAGGTTTAAGGTCTGTCCTACCTAGTGCTTCAGGTTTAAGGTCTATCCTACGTTGTGCTTTAGGTTGATGGTCTGTCCTACCTAGCTAGTGCTTCAGGTTTAAAGGTCTGCCCTACCCAGTGCTTTAGGTTGATGGTCTGTCCTACCTAGTGCTTCAGGTTTAAGGTCTGTCCTACCTAGTGCTTCAGGTTTAAGGTCTGTCCTACCTAGTGCTTCAGGTTTAAGGTCTGTCCCTACAGTGCTTCAGGTTTGATGGTCTGTCCTACCTAGTAGTGCTTCAGGTTTAAGGTCTGCCCTACCCAGTGCTTCAGGTTTAAGGTCTGTCCTACCTAGTGCTTCAGGTTTAAGGTCTGTCCTACCTAGTGCTTCAGGTTTAAGGTCTGTCCTACCTAGTGCTTCAGGTTTAAGGTCTATCATACGTTGTGCTTTAGGTGGATGGTCTGTCCTACCTAGTGATTCAGGTTTAAGGTCTGTCCTACCTAGTGCTTCAGGTTTAAGGTCTGTCCTACGTTGTGCTTCAGGTTTAAGGTCTATCCTACGTTGTGCTTTAGGTTGATGGTCTGTCCTACCTAGTGCTTAAGGTTTAAGGTCTGCCCTACCTGGTGCTTCAGGTTTAAGGTCTGTCCTACCTAGTGCTTTAGGTTGATGGTCTGTCCTACCGAGTGCTTCGGGTTTAAGGTCTGTCCTACCTAGTGCTTCAGGTTTAAGGTCTGCCCTACCCAGTGCTTCAGGTTTAAGGTCTGTCCTACCTAGTGCTTCAGGTTTAAGGTCTGTCCTACCTTGTGCTTCAGGTTTAAGGTCTGTCCTACCTAGTGCTTCAGGTTTAAGGTCTGTCCTACGTTGTGCTTGAGGTTGATGGTCTGTCCTACCTAGTGCTTCAGGTTAAAGGTCTGTCCTACGTTGTGCTTCAGGTTGATGGTCTGTCCTACCTAGTGCTTCGGGTTTAAAGTCTGTCCTACCTAGTGCTTCAGGTTTAAGGGCTGTCCTACCTAGTGCTTCAGGTTTAAGGTCTGTCCTACCTAGTGCTTCAGGTTTAAGGTCTGTCCCACCTAGTGCTTCAGGTTTAAGGTCTATCCTACGTTGTGCTTTAGGTTGATGGTCTGTCCTACCAAGTGCTTCAGGTTTAAGGTCTGTCCTACCTAGTGCTTCAGGTTTAAGGTCTGTCCTACCTAGTGCTTCAGGTTTAAGGTCTATCCTACCTAGTGCTTCAGGTTTAAGGTCTGTACTACGTTGTGCTTTAGGTTGATGGTCTGTCCTACCAAGTGCTTCAGGTTTAAGGTCTGTCCTACGTTGTGCTTCAGGTTGATGGTCTATCCTACGTTGTGCTTTAGGTGGATGGTCTGTCCTACCTTGTGCTTCAGGTTTAAGGTCTGTCCTACCTAGTGGTTCAGGTTTAAGGTCTGTCCTACGTTGTGCTTCAGGTTTAAGGTCTATCCTACGTTGTGCTTTAGGTTGATGGTCTGTCCTACCTAGTGCTTAAGGTTTAAGGTCTGTCCTACCTAGTGCTTCAGGTTTAAGGTCTGTCCTACCTAGTGCTTTAGGTTGATGGTCTGTCCTACCTAGTGCTTCAGGTTTAAGGTCTGTCCTACCTAGTGCTTCAGGTTTAAGGTCTGCCCTACCCAGTGCTTCAGGTTTAAGGTCTGTCCTACCTAGTGCTTCAGGTTTAAGGTCTGTCCTACCTTGTGCTTCAGGCTTAAGGTCTGTCTTACCTAGTGCTTCAGGTTTAAGGTCTATCCTACGTTGTGCTTAAGGTTGATGGTCTGTCCTACCTAGTGCTTCAGGTTTAAGGTCTGTCCTACCTAGTGCTTCAGGTTTAAGGTCTGTCCTACCTAGTGCTTCAGGTTTAAGGTCTGCCCTACCTAGTGCTTCAGGTTTAAGGTCTGTCCTACGTTGTGCTTTAGGTTGATGGTCTGTCCTTCCTAGTGCTTCGGGTTTAAGGTCTGTCCTACCTAGTGCTTCAGGTTTAAGGTCTGTCCTACCTAGTGCTTCAGGTTTAAGGTCTGTCCTACCCAGTGCTTCAGGTTTAAGGTCTGTCCTACCTAGTGCTTCTGGTTTAAGGTCTGCCCTACCCAGTGCTTCAGGTTTAAGGGCTGTCCTACCTAGTGCTTCAGGTTTAAGGGCTGTCCTACCTAGTGCTTCAGGTTTAAGGGCTGTCCGACGTTGTGCTTTAGGTTGATGGTTTGTCCTACCTAGTGCTTCAGGTTTAAGGTTTGTCCTACCTGGTGCTTCAGGTTTAAGGTCTATCCTACGTTGTGCTTTAGGTTGATGGTCTGTCCTACCTAGTGCTTCAGGTTTAAGGTCTGTCCTACCTAGTGCTTTAGGTTGATGGTCTGTCCTACCTAGTGCTTCAGGTTTAAGGTCTGTCCTACCTAGTGCTTCAGGTTTAAGGTCTGTCCTACCTAGTGCTTCAGCTTTAAGGTCTGTCCTACCTAGTACTTCACGTTGTTTATGGCATCTCTCATCTCCTTCCAGCTTGGCGGTATGGGACTACCCACTCGGGGATAAGTACGTCAATATCTGGAAGCACATGGAAGGCACTGGACTCTTCAACTCCACCGACCACGCTGTCAACAGTGTGTTGAATGATAACGTCGCCTTCATTACAGATTCGCCAATCATCAAGTACCTCACGTACGGGAACTGTGAATTGGCTGCGGTAGGGGACATGTTCAGCGTGAGGCCCTATGCGTTTGCTCTGAAGGAAAAGTCTGTGTACACCAAGAAAATATCGTCAGCGTAAGGACCTACACTGAATATTCACACTCTGCAAACCAAGTTTTCACAAGCTGCAGAAATTTTATTGATTGTAGAATGACTTTGGCGTCTTTCAAGGGGCATTTTTTAAAAACAGAAACAGTCTGTCTTCCACATGCACTAGGCTGTTGTGTTTCGGCGTTTGAATCAAACATGGCGTTGGAGTGTTTCAGCACCCTTGTTTTTCGCTGTTTTTGACAGCGTTTCATTTCACTCCAACTCAACGAATATTTAATCGGTTGCTTCACTGCATGTTCCAAAATGTCGTTTAAAATGCCCATTTAGCACGGAAACAAATTCATTTACCTTAGAGTATAAATGACCTCACCACGTTTATGTTTACATATGACTATCAAATTTTAGAGTGTTCCCATACTTTTTGTTTGTAGTATATCTTGTCTTCAGAATGCCACATCATACGACTGGGTTTTCCGATATAGAACAATCGCCTATATGTGACATTTCAAATTTGAAAATACGTACATGGTGGCATGTTTGTGACATTACAATGTTGGTGGAGACACCATCGTTATTCAGACAAATACCTCCCCCATTCACCCGGCCCACAGATGACATGTAGCAAAAACTGAGGCGTAGGAAAGTACATTATTCGTCCTACCCAAACGAACATGTTAATGCCACATATTGTATTGTGAAATATACTACCCATCAAAAGTTTAGACTCACCAGTGTAAATGTAGCCACTTACTTCAGTCAACTGTTCAAAACAGATTTTACCAAATATATTCCATACTGTTTAAAGGTACTGTTTACACATGAACTGATGTATTGTAAACCAAATTCGTAACGTTGAAAAGATTATTATCATGAGTTCAATAAATGATGGAACTCAGTGAAAATTGGCGAATTCTTAACAAACCTTTACAGCAAAACACAGCTGTTCACATGCACGATTTTAGCACATGCTCTTTAGCAATTTGATGCATGATCCTCGTGCAATTCATCGACATAAGGTTTGCAGTTGGTTCCCCCAATTAGTGGGGAAATTCATTTTCGATGTAACCATATATACATACATAACATGTAGTGAGTGCTTTAAGCGAATCTAAACTTTTGATGGGTAGTATATATTCGTAAAATATGAAGCGTTATGAAGCTGACATGTTGTTCTTATATATAGCATCCTGGAGCTTCAGAAGAAGCGTCAGCTGGAGCGTTCAAGAGACGCTGGGTGGATGAGGGCAAACTGAACTGTCCAGAGAGCTCCACCGACCAGGGGCCTTGATCTGGAGTCTCACTGGAAGCTTCATTGTGGTGGTTGTTGGTATGCTTTCTGGATTGCTTGTCCTGGTACTGGAGCACTTCTGGAATAGGTTTTCAAAGAGGAAGGTACGTTTTTGGCTTCTTGGTATCGCTTTTGCTGGTTTCAAAATCTTCTTTGTCTTGTTGGGTGTGGTTTTACGCTGCTTCAAACAGAATACTGCCCACTTCAACAAATCTCCCCTGACGCGATGTTTCCTCTCTAATATTTCAGCAATCCCCAATCACACAGGTGAGACCGACTGTCAGTAGCAAGTCGTCCCTAGGGATACCAGGCTCCGGCAACATGGAGGTTACTGTTCTGGGAGCTACCATCCTGAAAGACGAGCTGCACACTAAGCCGGACAGCTAGACATCTTGACATCTTTCGGGCTGCGGCAGTTTGGGGCTCACAGAGCTAGATGCCAAGCATGACTAGTTTGTGCTCACTCCGTTAGTTTGCGGCTCATACATCTAGACATCTTTCGGACTGCTGCAGTTTGGAGCTCACTCACCTGGACGCTGAGTGTGACGTGCCTTTGGTCTTATACAGCTAGACGCCGAGCCTGAATGCTGCAGATAACGAGCCGGTGAATAAACTGGTCACATGATGTGGATTCCCTTGAATAGGGTGTGCTCTCCTACGCAGATCGACACCTGGTCAATACGTTGAACGCATCCTGCATTGTTCCAGTTTGAAGAATATGAACGGTGTTTACAGCTATGCCAGTACTTTCATGTCGGATTCAATCACATTAGGTGAAAACGGTTGTCATGGTCAGTAAATTGTGTTATTCTGCTTCTTGTATGCAAAATGGCTAATTATAGAAATTTTACATTCACACTATGCAAATGCTCAATCCAGTTTTTCATCTTGCAGTATATGTGATACACTATTAATAATTGTGTTTTATCTTCACACGTTATACGGCCTGATAACAATCGGTCGATGATATCAGTGTTCGAAGCCATCTTCAGCTGACGTTCATAAGGTCCCACTGAAACTGTTCTGGCAGGTATTCCACTCGTGTTTCAAATTGGTGACGTTTAAAAATGTCACTAACTCATCAGTCAATTTGTCTTTCGCCCTTATACCCAAGTTCGACGATCGATTTGCACCTCAGAATCGCTGCGGACATCCACCAGAGTTTCATATTCTTTCCACACAATGGAACATGTCAGAATCAGTAAGTTCAGATAACATTCTCTTGTGCCAAAGGAGTAGCATATTGTTGGAGCGGAGATGCATGTTCTTGGTGTATGCAGACAATTAGCAAGTGATAGCCTATCTATCCTCAGGTCATTTTGTCGACCAAATACATAAATATACTATTTGTTTTAGAACAGCTGACTACAGTCTTGGTCAGTGAGATCAATATTAATTACTCATCTATTAATGAAGACCATTCAGGCCGAGGTCTCAAACATCCCCCCTTGTTCAATAATTGTTCATAATTGTGTACACACGGTTTTTGTTTCTGCTTCCAAGTTCGATGTTCACGAATGTATTTCATGCTGCTGTAAATAAATCACTTTGTACTTATCTTCAGCTGCCATACAGCATCTTTCCATTCGATTCTACAGCAGCATGCAATCAATGGACACGACAGACTAGGGAATATATCTACCTTTATTAGGAATTGGTCAGGGCTGGTTCCAGTCAACATGGCCGTATCATGACATATCTACAACAGCCACGCTGGGCCCATGTGTAGGTGATAAAACACACAACATACACAAGATGTTCCACCTCACACTGATACGCTTTAGTTGACCAAAACCGCTTAGGTGACAAAATGTGATCAATGGGTGTTTGATAACCTTTGGACGATAAACACATGCTGACTTACAGAAGGTTCCGAGATACAATGAATGTATACAAGAGCACATATACACAAACAATAAGAAATGCTGAGATTGTAACACTTCATGATAACACCAGCAACAGACCGACGTGGGTTTAACTCTTCTGTGAACAGTATTCCAGTCATATCACCGAGTGTCAGTTTGAATCCAGGAGGAAAGAAGGCGGCGATACAGGTACCGAACCTTGTGAGATCCACGAGCTTAGGTATAGTGCAAACAAACCTTGAAACTATAATTCCAGCAAACCAGGATTCCAGCTGCATCTTCGGACCACTTTCTCCATTACACTCACAGTCAAGTTGTGAAACATCAACTCATCCAAACCATATACAATACTCAGCAAGTTTCAAATATATATGATTGAAAATTTACTTGTGAATCAATGACAACAAAATAACAGACAATTCTAGGATACAAACTACTTCCTGATGTAAGATATGACAAGAAAACATTCAGAAGTACTGTTGCTTAAGACAGTATTACCTACATTAGTCATAGGTTGGGGGCAGCTCCGACTCATTCATACACAACATGTAACATTAAACTGTTTTATGTCAAGTTTTCCTACTGAGTCATATTCAAAAACCTGAATCAAAAACCTAATTTACTGTCAATCATTTGCAAGAAAAGGAAAATATAGGAAGCATTGGTGGAAATCAAACACATTCATTAACCTGTTTTATTTGAATGCATCATACATGTTTTGATTATGAGCTTACCTTGAATATCATTTACCAACTATATCATTGCTACCATCATCCTTTGAATCTAATGAAATTGAATTTGCATAAAAGATCTTTGAGGGAAAACATCTTGTTCCTGCCAACCACCACCTGAAGATGAACTGAAATGCTGGGCATGTTCTAGATAAATGCAGTATGGCTAAGAAGACATTGTTGTACCATGTGGCCTAAATTAGATAACCTGTTGGGTGAGCAGCTGTCACAGACGGGGCAATAACTGATACAGGAGTATGTGTGCACACCGTGTTATATATAGGACAATAACTTGTATATGGATTCCACACACACAGTATTTGAAACATATGCACATTTTAAACATTCAGTGAAGAATCTGTTTTTATGATTCTTCTAGGCGTATGAAACAATTAAAAAGAAAGTCTTGACTATGCCACTTACCTGTCAAAGGGTTGACAAAATCAGAGATGCGGAACATATACAGCAATATTTACCAGCAGACATGCACAAATGAAACAAATTAACAATCTTTAACCATTTCAATATCTGATCACACTGAATCAACAAAATGTCCCAGCTAAAACAACCTACATCACTTGGTAAAGTGCCATCATTAACAGATACTGGGTGTGAGTTTGGTTTAACGCCACTTTGACCAATATTATACTTATATCGATGCATGTAACCTGAATGTGAGAGAAAAGCCTGAAGTGATGCCAGTCTCAGACATTTACCATTCTAATGATGCTAGGAGAATGGCTATGGTGTGGAAAACCTACAAAAATAAAATGTTAAAGAGAGATCTGCACCCACAATCATGGGTCTCTGTGTGTGTCCAAAGGACACAACTCCGTCTTACTAAAATGTTTGCACCATTCTACCACTAACTTGTATGGAAATTATATTCCACTGGCTCAAACTATCACTGGTGTATCACCTATCAAAATACATTATGCAGAAGCATATGAGTGTCAGGTCAGATAAAAAAATATTTCATCATCGTAAGGCTCACTTAAGTGTGGATATCAAAGTCCAAACTAAAAGACAGTCATGTAGAGAAAATAGAGACAATTTACAAACTTTAATTATGAAATGTCATTGACATAAAATATGAATGGTAAATAAATCTGTCATTCAATACAAAATATATTGGTACAAAAACATTTATCAATTCAAAACATATTTCTAACTGATGTTTGGCAATTAAATGACAAAAACGCAAGATCTGAGAATAATTTGAAAACTGTTTTCCATCACACATAGCCCAAATATAAGATAAACTTTCACCTGTTACCACCACAAGAAATGTTTTTGAACTTAATCACAAGAATTAAGGGCACACTTCAATACCCATATAACCATGGTAACACAGCACTCTCAGAAATGATAGCTCCCCCTTGGTATTTTCTGCGTTCTAACCAAGGGATGACCTACATTGTTTTTTCATATCACTGTATTTGCAAAGACCTCTTTTCGTTCCTTATTTCGAAAACTTTTAGGCAGTTTTGTTTCAGGTATTAACACAAACTTAGGAGGAACCTATTGGACTTTTGAACACACAGGGGACATAACTCTAAGACATCATGAAACTTTCTCAAGCATGAGACCATTTTAGCTAACACTGACCTCTGTAGGATACAGAAAGGTCAACACAAGATCATGAATGAAGACATTCCTCATATTCATACACAGTTAATCATCTACACCAATATTTCGGAAGAGGTAGGACATTGACTCTCGGTGGTGAATCCGACGGATGGCCTCGACAAGCATGACGCTGACGTCTACTGTCTTGATTTTGTGACACTGCATCTTCTGGGCTTCATGAGGTACAGTATTTGTCACAACCACCTGGGCAGAGACACAAAAACAGTTGCATCAGGTTGGCTATTGTCCTGGTCAAACTGCCAAGAGAACAGGCTGCTAGGGGGCTGTCTTTCTCATCTATACTATATATTATGCACAAAGTTGGTAAAAAACACATACAAAGCACATCAGTCAATAATTATTTCAAGCACAAACTACCTAAATCACCAAAGTTTATGTATTTCCATCCATGGCCAAAAAACCATCAGTAAGTTTATACACATAGCTCTGTCTGAAGTATAATATATGCATCAGTATATGATGACACTAGGATTGTGAATACTAACATTGTTTCCATAATATAAGATTGGGTAAAACTAGTTGGACTGTAATATCAATGGTTATATTCACAAAAATAACCTCAACTGAACATTTGATCCAACTTCCATGAAATCAAAAACAGGATATGACAAATGGTTCAAAATTTGAAGAAATCAAATCAGACAAACATTGGCCAAGTTTTGTTGCAAGAGTTAGGGTAACCCTTATAACATAAATTAGAAGTGTCATCATTTTACCATGACTTATGTTGTTACTGGTCATTTTCACTTTGTGGTTTTCCTTGTAATTACAGGAACATTTTTAACGTTTTACAAGAAATGTAATTTTTAGAGTAAAATTGATATTTTATACTTATCCTGACTCATGCTTATTGCTTGTCTTCTTCTTCTTGCGAACATAGTGGAACACGTGTATCTCCCAATTGAAGTTCCCTTCAATTAAAAAATCACTAATTAGCACTCACCACGAGTTACCTCCCTTACACAAGCGTGGGAACGAGGGCGCCACCTCAACCCATGTGCCTCACTCTCTCCTCATATACTGAGCCCAACACTTGAATTTCCAGGGAAATCCAAAGTGTTATGTGGGGAAGATGGGAGGGCTTACCTCATGAGTCAGGATAAGTATAAAATATCAATTTTACTCTAAAAATTACATATTTTTCCTTATCCTGACTCATGCTTATTGCTTGTAGAATCCGACGGAAAAGGAGGTGGGAATATATAATACTTTGGATTGTAATAATTAGTGATTTGAACTGTGATGATTGTAATAACCCTATGGGAACTTCATAAAGGCACTGAACTGATGAATTCCTGCTGCTAACTTATCAGCTGCCATATAAAGGTTATTATAATTTACTTATTATGATAAAAGTATATATAACATTAATACAATGCTTAAGACTAATAGACTTAAGCTTGTTAATATGATAGCATAAACTCCTTAGAGTTTGTTAGCTAAAATACTTTTATGATATAAACATAGTACTGAGCTTAAGATATGATTAAACTTAAGCTAAATATATAATAGCAAAACTCCTTAGAGTTTATTAGCTAATATACTTTTATGAAGTAAACATAGTACTAAGCTTAAGATATGAATAAAACTTAAGCTATATATATAATAGCAAAACTTGGTAGAGTTTGTTAGCTAATATATTTTATGATATGAGTATAGTACTGTGCTTAAGATATAATTAACTTAAGCTACCTAAATAGCCAAAAAAACTCCGTAGAGTTTGTTAGCTATTACATTTTATAATGTAACCATAATGCTTAAGATATGATGAAACTTAAGCTAAACATATAATAGCCAAAAACTCTTTAGAGTTTGTTAGCTAATATACTTATATGATATAAACATAGTACTGAGCTTAAGATATGAATAAACTTAAGCTACATATATAATAGCAAAAACTCCGTAGAGTTTGTTAGCTAATACATGTTATAATGTAACCATAATGCTTAAGATATGATGAAACTTAAGCTAAATATATAATAGCCAAAAACTCTTTAGAGTTTGTTAGCTAATATACTTATATGATATAAACATAGTACTGAGCTTAAGATATGAATAAACTTAAGCTACATATATAATAGCAAAAACTCCGTAGAGTTTGTTAGCTAATATATTTTTATGACATGAGTATAGTACTGTGCTTAAGATATAATTAACTTAAGCTACATATATAATAGCAAAAACCCTGTAGAGTTTGTTAGCTAATACATTTTAAATATATATAGCATGTAGCTATTTAGTACTGTTATAAGATAAGTAGAAATCTGTAAGATTGACTTATCTTCTCCGAGGAACTGTCAACTGTTGTGCGAGGACCATGGGACCGAATTGGTGGATACCTGAGACGTCCTTGGTGGTGATATCTCTCAGATAGTGGTTGGCAAACACCATATCGGATCTCCAGAATTAACCCTCCAATATGGTATATCAATAGCACTTGTCGTGTAGAGCAAGTGTAGATGTTAGTGCTCTAATATCATGAGGATTAGAAGCTCTTGGAGGGTCGAGTCCTGCAGTCTTGTAGGCACGTAGTATGACAGTTCTGATCCAAAAGGAGATAGTAGTACGTGAGACTTCAGTCTGCGTAGCTTGTTGATAGAGAAATAAATCTCTTGAATTTTTTCCCTCCTGTTTGGCTCGGTGGAGATATATTTTCAGTGCTCTTACTGGCCATCGTGATAGATTCATTGTATCATGGGGTCCAAGTATATCATCAAAGCGTGTTCATAAACCTCACTTGTGAGGTGTTGGAGCACTATATTCAGATCCCAAGTTGGGCGTGAAACTTCCGTTTTAATCCTCAATCGAAAGCTTCGTAGCAAAGGCGAGTAACTGGGTTTAGGTTAACTTGACGCCCGTTCTCAGTTATGACAGAGCTATTGCTGCAAGATAGGTGGACAAGTTGAGCCTTTTAAAATCTTAGTCTGGCGTAGATAACATAAGTAGTCAGCCACTTGAGGATGAGTAGCATATCTAGCTGTAAATCCTTCCTTTGCAGCATAATTGACAAAACTGTGCCATTTGTCATCATTATAAGTTGCAAGTTGAGTTCACGCAGGGCAAGCTAGACTGCTTTGCGCTCTGGCTGAATAACTTGTATTCAGACCGCATATGATACAATCCATACGTGAAGTTGGAATATTTCTGGCTTTCCGTGCTTGTTTGGTGTCGCGGATGTATTAACAGATTCGAGCACTCTGTAAGATGTAGTATTGGTTGTCCGATTTCTTGAATAAGAGTTGGAAACCACGTTCTCGCTGGTCAGTAGGCCGCGACCAAATTCAGATGGAGGCTCTGCGTTTGACTGATTTTGAGTAAACTTGTGAGATTAACGCTGGTGGCGGAAAAGCGTACGCGTTGAGTCCTTCCCACGATATGCTTAGTGCGTCTGTTGCCAATGCTAGTGGGTCTGGAACTGGCGATACGAATGTTGTCAGTTGTTTGTTGAATCGAGTGGCAAATAGGTCTATTAGTGTAGTTCCTATTTCCTTGATAATTTGAGTGAATATCTCTGTATGGAGCATTCATTTCTGTCGTGATGGTATGTGTGTGTGCGAGAGGCGTCTGCTATCACATTCTTTGCTCCTGGAATGTGATATGCTCTGACATGTATGTTGAGATTGTCGATTAAATCGAACAATTGAAAACATAGAGTCGATAGGTTCGGGGACCTGGTTGAGCTTAGTTTGTTCACATAAAACGCCACTGTCGAATTGACTGTGTGAATCATCCACTGGGTATACTGTAGTAAGTTGCTCCAGTGCATTAAAGGCGTTTATTACTGCTTGCATCTCTAGCAGATTTATGTGTAATTTGCTCTCTTGATTGCTCATAGCCCTGATGCCGTCCTGTTGGCAAGATGGGCTCCCCAACCTTGTAGTGACACATCGTAGAGAAGTGTTATCGATTCCAGCTCTATTAGCGAGAGGCGCCTATTCAAACATTTGATCTCTTGGTCCACCATAGTAGATGAGGTTTGACCTGAACCGGTAAATTGAGCGGTAGAGATTAGATCTAGATGCGAATTGATGATGACTTATAGCGGATGTAATTGTAGTCTGCCTCTGCCTGTCATGTCTTGAGCTGAAGTCGTAACCCCAACAGGCTCTGCCACTGTCGTAGTGGTAGCGAGGAGATAGTAAGGCTTGTGGAAATGACTGTTGGATCTTGATCCATGGTCCTCCGGTACAATTATACGATTCTGCGCCGTTACAAATCAAAACCTAGAATTAGCAGATCTTGCGAAGGTTCTAGGTCCAACTTAAGTAGGTTTACTAACCATCTAGTTGTGTTAGTAGCTTGATGATGAATTCAACTGTAGTCTGAGACGTTATGGATTTGGATCCACTTGTATCCCGTCGTCAAGGTAAATTCGCTGCGAAGTCCTTGACGATGTAGGTGCACAACCAAGGGTGACTGCCATCGTTGAACTTTATGTAAAAAAAACGCCTGACTGCCGTGCCCTCGTCCTTACTTGACAGGGGAGGTCTCTAACCTCAAGAAGGCAGCCCAATCATGAAGGTTCAGATTAGCTGGACTGTAAGGAGGCTTGCTCGTTCACTGATATATTGTTGTCACTTGCAACCTATGTCTTGAACTGTGAACTATGATCGACCTCTGCGTAGGGCGTTGTCCATCTCGGTCCAATCAGAACAAGGCATTTTGATTCTGTAGAGTACCCAGCTGTGATGTCACCGGTGTAGCAGGAAAAGGAACCTTGTATAATATAGTGCCGACGTTGATATTAGAACAATCGTCGGTCTTCCCCGTAGCTTCGAAGTTACCCGAGTGACCACGTGTTTGAGGGTTAATGGTAAGCTTGTAGCGAAACCTCCGGTAGCGAAATACCTCGCTCTGTAATATTAATGCTGGGTAGGTTATTTTCCAGGCTGTCGTGAAAGTAACTTCAGTCTTGAAGATAATTCCGACTTCCTTATATAAGGTTCAATAAACTTGCAAGTTGTCAGCTTGTAGACTGTTAAAGCTGAACTTGTTGTACATATTTCTTCTCAGGAAATCGTTGACGATTATGAGTTTTACTCGCTGTAACAAGGCTGCTGTTCAATTTCGTTACTGAATTGTCTGCAGATCTGCGTAATGGTCGCATGTAGATAATCGTATCGTAGTCCGGGATTGCATACCTAGCAATCTATACGGAAATGTTGATTCCTGTGAAGGTCTACGAAACGTCGTTGATGCCCTTGATGTAGGTAGTCGGCTTGAAGATCCTTAATTAGGCTCTTCATCTGTTGATAAAATAATACAGCGACGTTCTGTGTTGTAAATAGCCTGTGCAATTGTCTTCGCGTAGGCTTGTAGACGGCATATGGCATACAGTTGATAGACAACTCATGCGATGTCTTGAACGGACTGACGAGTGGCTATATATGACGAGTGGCTAGTATATGGAGACCTTGGAGGAGACTTCCTCGGCGAACGCCGGGGACTTCGCGAAGATCTCGAAGTATCCCTTCTAGATCTTCTGGGTGAAGTAGACTTGGAGCCACTTAGCCTTCGCGACCTTTGCGAAAGTATCGAGTCAGAGTCCGATCAATATATGAGCGCTTGCTCCGCGAACGACCTCTGTGTTCTACAGGGTGTGGGCTCGGCGAAGCGCTCCTTCTCCGCGATGTCCCTCGCAACTGGTGAGGCTCTAGCTCCTTCGCGGAGGCGGCCTGGGACTTCCTTAGCGAAGTGTCTAGAGTCCGATCAATATATGAGCGCTTGCTTCGCGAACGACCTCTGTGTTCTACAGGGTGTGGGCTCGGCGAAGCGCTCCTTCTCCGCGATGTCCCTCAATATATGAGCGCTTGCTCCGCGAACGACCTCTGTGTTCTACAGGGTGTGGGCTCGGCAAAGCGCTCCTTCTCCGCGATGTCCCTCGCAACTAGTGAGGCTCTAGCTCCTTCAGCGATGCGAGGCTGGCCTGGGACTTCCTTAGCGAAGTGTTCAGCTACGGGCTGGGTTGCCCTTCGCGGAGGCGCATTTGTGGGCTCTGGGGCCCTACGCGAAGCCAAGGCGGGCTCTGGGGCCCTGTATGACTTATTATGGGTTGGGCTCTGGGGCCCGTGGCTCTGGGGCCTCTGTAAACCGTAACGGTCCTCCATCAGTCTCATGATTTGGTTGACCAGGTCGTCTGAGATGGTCTGCGCTGGCGTTGAGGGTGTCCTCTCTGTGATAGTGACGGGACCCTCAGTTATAATCTCCGGCGTCAGCGTAGGCATCTCTGGTTGCATGTTGATCTGCGCTGAAGTGACGGTAGCCGATACTAGTCACTTCTTATGACGTACATCTGGAATGATAATCGGAATGTCATCATCATATAAACATAATTCTGAATATCAGAAGCAAAGTTTTTTTAGTAGCCTTCGTGGATTTCCCTTTTGACGAAGCTGTAGACCTGGGGGTTCGGAGCGTACGTTGAGACGACGTGGAAGCTCTTCTAGTCTTAGACTGTGATGAAGGAGCGTCCTGGGATGCAGGTAAAGCTTCTAGGATATAGCGGACTGCGTCCCGCTTATCCCCGAAGGTAACCCAGGATATATCTGACTCCGATCTATTAGCCATGACTGAAGATTGTTTCCGAGATTTATCTGCCTTCCGTCTCAAAACGGAACATAAATATTTATCAAAGGCAGAAATTGGTAAATTAATACATAATTTACAGCGAGAAACAATAGAACATGGAGTAATGCAACTAGGGCATTTTAAATGTAGATCGGTAGCGGAATAACGTAGTTTACAACCTGTGCAGATTCTCATTAACGTAAACTGCTGAACAAACACGGCAAACCGTGAATAAAACAGCAGAAACACGACTAATAATCAATGCAAGTTGAATAAGGATACTAGTTACACCTCTAAAAAATGAATATAAGAGGTACTAAACTAAATATAAATAAAGGATATAGTGTGTCGGGAGACACAGGTGCTCTCACGTCCAGCTCACTGGGCGAAGAAGGAGAGAGTGAGGCACATGGGTTGAGGTGGCGCCCTCGTTCCCGAGCTTGTGTAAGGGAGGTAACTCGTGGTGAGTGCTAATTAGTGATTTTTTAATTGAAGGGAACTTCAATTGGGAGATACACGTGTTCCACTATGTTCGCAAGAAGAAGAAGACAAGCAATAAGCATGAGTCAGGATAAGGAAAAATCAAAGATTTTGTCATTCAGTCTGTGACATCCATAACTCTTGACACAGAAATTGACACAAAAATGTGTTGCTATCACATGTATCTAACAAATGATTTATAATCTTTCTCCAGAACAAAAAAACATTTGACATCAAGTGACTAACCTCATCGATACAAGAGTCTTCAATGAGTCTCGGTGCATCTGATGAAAGGAGGCCATGTGTAGCCATAACGTACACTTTGTAAGCTCCTCGTTCCTTGAGAGCCTCAGCTGTCTTCACGAACAACAACACGTCATCTATCATGTCATCCTGCAAACCATAACAGTATGTATCAGCATGGTCACAACTGAGTTGTCTCCCCTCCATAACACACCAACACCTTCAAAACACGTTCCTCACTCAGTAGCATTGTTGCCTCCAGAGTAGCCATTACAACAATCTTAAAATTTGTCCTCTAACTGAAAATGTAGAGACATGTATAAGTGTTTGCTATGTCTTTGGGAATGCTATCACAGTGATGTTTGGAAAGGTCTGAGACCATTTACTATTTTTCTCATGAATTTCCATTTTTGTTACTCAAGAAACTTGGTTTCATACAGCGAACATTATGATACACACCCAAATTCCCATTAACATAAACATCCCTTTTAATGGGGTGAGCAAGATCACTCTAATGTGATACAAAGGGTTTTATCTGGGAATAAATAGGATGTCCCACTTAGATTATGAAGTAACCACTGAGCCGATCCCTAGCCCCATCCCCTCCGAAGACCCCCTAATTCTCACCACAATGATGGCTATCCTGCCGCCGACGTCTCCCACCACGTTCAGGGGCGGCTTCTCTTTCGCTAGTATTGCTGGAACATATATAAAAGTTGACATCCAGAAATATGCAACACAACAAAATCATTATGATTCAGTATATATCTTTCAGTGTTGTAGTCAGACATATAAGCAAATCTCAGACGAGTGCACAAAATCAAAGCTTACATTTCCATCATATCTGATGTAGAAAGGCTGCAAGGTCTTACTTGGCAGAGTCTCTATTCCGAACTCATGGTTTCTTGGGAGCTGTTCGTCCTCCGGCAGGGGAGGGGGAGAGTTCCTCCCATCACATCCCAACTCCTCAATCTTCTCCTCCCCATGGATGACGGCAATACTGAGTCGCAGCCGTTCTGCGTAAGAGGACGCTCGCTTCACTGAGTTGGGGTTCCGGGCAACTATCACAGCATTCCTGTAGTCGGGAATCTGTCAACCCAGGAAAGAAGAACACCTAACCTGGTGTCCTGTACAGTCTCTATTTCCAGTCCATCAGTACCAAAAAGTTACCAGAAAATATTTTTAATCAATATTCTAGCAATGGCACCAAACAAAACAACAAACTGTACCAAGCCATGAATTGAACCAGTGCTATGTTTGACAAGTAACCAAACCAAATGTCCTGAAGTTGGAAGTGAAATCGGTCTGTTCAAACTGATGCAGAAGATACCACAGAAATATATATTTTCAGCATCAATACACAATTTTGACAAAAGTCACATAAACTTAATTTAACTGTCCATGATGACATCTTTCTTTCTTTGTTTCTTTGTTCATTTGTTGTTTGAGAACATCACTGATATAACATCTACAAGATGGTAGCCTGATAATAATCAAGACTAGACCAGACATTCAAGTGATCATTATTGTGAGAAATGATCCAAGGTATCAGGGTATGAATACACATGATCATCCCTGTCACCAATCAACTGAGTAACCTGACACCTGACTTGGTCACCTCTAATGACCGACACAGGTTGCTGGGTAAAATCCAACCTGTATACCTACCATGGCTGACACCTTCAATGTTAATTTCCTAAATTCCTGAAAATTGACAGGGTCATAGTTTGTCCCATCTCTTTGCAATCAGATCTTAGTTCTCACTACTCCTCCACAGAAATCTGACAACATGCTACTATGGGTCACCTCTGAACAACCTTTCATCCCACCAATCAGAGCATTGTGTACCAGATAAGGAAAGTGACAGTTGCCATGTGTTGTCTTGCAACCTCAAAAGCACTATCACCTGGTATCCCAAACGAGAGAACTCTAGAAGATGATTTACTGATCTGGTCCAAATCATATTCTCTCTCTCATCACTGGGATTAACTTTTGAAATGAGAATTTTCATAGTCTGTTTGCAAGACAATCTCATCCATCATTAAGATTTCACATTCTGAATCAAGAACTTCATCAAATATTTTCAAAGTGTAGTCCTGAATGGAAATGGCATTGAAACTAATGCCATATTTTGAATAAGTAATTTTTTTACTTGCCTTAGTTCACTTGCAAGCCATTTCATTGGTTGGTTAAAATTTGCATAATGTTGTTCTGATGTGTGCTGTAATGACATGTCTTCACGTCTTGGTTCAATGAGATTGGTGTGAGAGTGGATTGTGTGCAGTGAGTAAGTGACTATGGTTTTATGCTGAGTTTAGCAATATTCCAGCAATATCAATGGCGGGGGGACACCAGAAATGGGCTTCACACATAGTATCCATGTAGAGAATCAAACAGCAGTCTTTGGCGTGATGAGGGAACGCTTTAACCATTAGGCTACCCCAACACCCCCTGTGCAATCAAATCAACTGTAACCAATCACTATGATAAACCCCTTTTTACCTTTCTGAAATAGTCTTGAATAATCAAAAGCAAGGGTAATATTTTTCTTTACTCACGAACTCCTTAACATAGTCAACGAGGAATGGAGAGGCTCGGAGGTTGTCAACTGGGACGTCAAAGAAGGCCTGGATCTCCTTCTGGTGGAGGTCCATAGTGATGATGTGTGTCAGACCTGATATACAGGATATATATTGTCATACACTGAAACATGATGATGTGTGTCAGACCTGATATACAGGATATATATTGTCATACACTGAAACATGATGATGTGTGTCAGACCTGATATACAGGATATATATTGTCATACACTCAAACATGATGATGTGTGTCAGACCTGATATACAGGATATATATTGTCATACACTGAAACATGATGATGTGTGTCAGACCTGATATACAGGATATATATTGTCATGCACTGAAACATGATGATGTGTGTCAGACCTGATATACAGGATATATATTGTCATACACTCAAACATGATGATGTGTGTCAGACCTGATATACAGGATATATATTGTCATACACTGAAACATGATGTGTGTCAGACCTGATATACAGGATATATATTGTCATACACTGAAACATGATGATGTGTGTCAGACCTGATATACAGGATATATATTGTCATACACTGAAACATGATGATGTGTGTCAGACCTGATATACAGGATATATATTGTCATACACTGAAACATGATGATGTGTGTCAGACCTGATATACAGGATATATATTGTCATACACTGAAACATGATGATGTGTGTCAGACCTGATATACAGGATATATATTGTCATGCACTGAAACATGATGATGTGTGTCAGACCTGATATACAGGATATATATTGTCATGCACTGAAACATGATGATATGTGTCAGACCTGATATACAGGATATATATTGTCATGCACTGAAACATGATGATGTGTGTCAGACCTGATATACAGGATATATATTGTCATACACTGAAACATGATGTGTGTCAGACCTGATATACAGGATATATATTGTCATACACTGAAACATGATGATGTGTGTCAGACCTGATATACAGGATATATATTGTCATACACTGAAACATGATGATGTGTGTAAGACCTGATATACAGGATATATATTGTCATACACTGAAACATGATGATGTGTGTCAGACCTGATATACACCATATATATTGTCATACACTGAAACATGATGATGTGTGTCAGACCTGATATACAGGATATATATTGTCATACACTGAAACATGATGATGTGTGTCAGACCTGATATACAGGATATATATTGTCATACACTGAAACATGATGATGTGTGTCAGACCTGATATACAGGATATATATTGTCATACACTGAAACATGATGATGTGTGTCAGACCTGATATACAGGATATATATTGTCATACACTGAAACATGATGATGTGTGTCAGACCTGATATACAGGATATATATTGTCATACACTCAAACATGATGATATGTGTCAGACCTGATATACAGGATATATATTGTCATGCACTGAAACATGATGATATGTGTCAGACCTGATATACAGGATATATATTGTCATACACTGAAACATGATGATATGTGTCAGACCTGATATACAGGATATATATTGTCATACACTGAAACATGATGATATATGTGTCAGACCTGATATACAGGATATATATTGTCATACACTGAAACATGATGATGTGTCAGACCTGATATACAGGATATATATTGTCATACACTGAAACATGATGATGTGTGTCAGACCTGATATACAGGATATATATTGTCATACACTGAAACATGATGATATGTGTCAGACCTGATATACAGGATATATATTGTCATACACTGAAACATGATGATGTGTGTCAGACCTGATATACAGGATATATATTGTCATACACTGAAACATGATGATGTGTGTCAGACCTGATATACAGGATATATATTGTCATACACTGAAACATGATGATGTGTGTCAGACCTGATATACAGGATATATATTGTCATACACTGAAACATGATGATGTGTGTCAGACCTGATATACAGGATATATATTGTCATACACCGAAACATGATGATATGTGTCAGACCTGATATACAGGATATATATTGTCATACACTCAAACATGATGATGTGTGTCAGACCTGATATACAGGATATATATTGTCATGCACAGACCTGAAACATGATGATATGTGTCAGACCTGATATACAGGATATATATTGTCATACACTGAAACATGATGATATGTGTCAGACCTGATATACAGGATATATATTGTCATACACTGAAACATGATGATGTGTGTCAGACCTGATATACAGGATATATATTGTCATGCACTGAAACATGATGATGTGTGTCAGACCTGATATACAGGATATATATTGTCATACACTGAAACATGATGATATGTGTCAGACCTGATATACAGGATATATATTGTCATACACTGAAACATGATGATGTGTGTCAGACCTGATATACAGGATATATATTGTCATACACTGAAACATGATGATGTGTGTCAGACCTGATATACAGGATATATATTGTCATACACTGAAACATGATGATGTGTGTCAGACCTGATATACAGGATATATATTGTCATACACCGAAACATGATGATGTGTGTCAGACCTGATATACAGGATATATATTGTCATACACTGAAACATGATGATGTGTCAGACCTGATATACAGGATATATATTGTCATACACTGAAACATGATGATGTGTGTCAGACCTGATATACAGGATATATATTGTCATACACTGAAACATGATATGTGTCAGACCTGATATACAGGATATATATTGTCATACACTGAAACATGATGATATGTGTCAGACCTGATATACAGGATATATATTGTCATACACTGAAACATGATGATGTGTGTCAGACCTGATATACAGGATATATATTGTCATACACTGAAACATGATGATGTGTGTCAGACCTGATATACAGGATATATATTGTCATACACTGAAACATGATGATGTGTGTCAGACCTGATATACAGGATATATATTGTCATACACTGAAACATGATGATATGTGTCAGACCTGATATACAGGATATATATTGTCATACACTGAAACATGATGATGTGTGTCAGACCTGATATACAGGATATATATTGTCATACACTGAAACATGATGATATGTGTCAGACCTGATATACAGGATATATATTGTCATACACTGAAACATGATGATATGAGTCAGACATAATTTACAAGATATATCTCCACCACACAAAATAGTGATGATATGAGTTATCCATTACACACAAGATATATATGTAACACTGTGAACAGTATATTTTGAGTCAGGCCTGATATACAGGATATGTCTGTAACACACTGAAAAGTGATGATATAAACAAGGATGTTGATGTGTACCTGATCGGCCCAACATGGTGGCTAACAGCTTGCAGACAATAGAGCCTCTCTTCCTCATCTTACTCTGTTTGGAGTAGGGTAGATACGGTATAACGCCGATGATGTTGCGAGCTGAGCTGGTCTTGCAGGCGTAGGCGAGGATGAGCAGTTCCATGATGTCATTGTTGACATCCCTGCAATCAGAGTGGTGGAGCAGTTATCTTCATTGTTTATAACATGTTTATCCATTTTATCATGTTCATGAATATATCAAGAACCATAGGAATAATCTGTTCGGAGAGGCATTAGACAGAGCTCCAGATAACTTTTTGGGTCATTGAGTTATGTACTCGCTTGTGTTCCATCTCAATTGGGTATCCTAATTTTCCTTTGAGTAACCAAATAAATTCTACCCACCTCACTCAAACTCAATTTGGTATTTTGCCATTTTCCATTAATTGTAAAAATATACTTTGGGAAAAAAATTTGGGATCCCATGAAAGCACAAGTGTTCCTATATTTTTTTCCAGGTTTCTTCACAAGTGTGCCATACAAAGCTTGTGAAGAAATCTGGGGAAAAATTAAGGAACACTTGTCCTTTCATGTGATCCCCTATTATTTTCCCTCAGTATATAATAAAGTTAAATGATATTTATATTGGATCTGCAATATGAGAAATGATAAGAAAGACTGCAAGATGACAAGTTCATGTGTTGAAATAGAACCTCTGAATATACCTGTTATTTTATCTATGCATCAGTACGCAAGCTATGATTCGACATTTTTGTGTGAACGCATGTAAGATCAAATTTATTGAGTATTTACAAAATTTCAAGCGTACTTGTATGCAATAGCCTTAAGAAGAATTGAGTTTTCACATATATATTTGAGTAATTTAAGCAGATACGCAGCTTATCTGTACGTCTACATAACAAGATTAAGGGTGACTTACTTTGTGCCAGTCTGTATGATGTAGACATCCTTCCCTCGCACAGACTCCTTGATCTCTACAGTTGTCTCTGAAGCAGAACACCGGAGCCCAGGTATAGTCATTTCACAACAATAAAGGAGAGAGAGAAAGGGGTTCCTTAGAACTTTAGTCAAGCCTTATCGCTGATCAGTATATATAGGTTTAGGTTGTAATGAAACCCATGGTCCATAGATCTGATCGACGATGACATGAATCGAGTGATCCATTGTGATATCTCTATCTCATCATCATTTATGACAAACAAGAGGTACTAGTTAGGTCTTCAGACGAAAGTCTGGAAGACCTACTGTTTTTACCCGAATTATTATTATTATTAGGTCTTCAGACGAAAGTCTGGAAGACCTACTGTTATTATCCGAATTATTATTATTATTATTTGGACGTTTTTTGTGACAGCTCTCCTGACTTAACCGCTTGGTCGATTTGCATGAAACTTTCAGGGATCATAGCCTGTATGCTGAAATTGATACATAGTCGAAAAAATCCCGTCTTCCGGCTTCCGGTAAGGGTAGATAACCCAAAATGTCGAAATCTTTACACCTGAATAACTCAAAAACTATAAAAGATAAATTGACCAGATTTTCACTCAATGTAGACAACATCATTCCCCAGCGACTCAACGCATAGCGGAAGTTGGCCGTCATGATAGATTTTCCGCAATTTCGAAAAAACTGATTTTTTTGCCGATTTGCACGATTTGACGGTGCCTGTGTTTGAAAATCTTCTTCTCCAGAACGGCATATAGCACAATCGTGTTCGATACGCCGTTAGAAAACCAATACTCTGGACTACTTAGTTTGCTCAAGGCATGTCGATATCTTGAATGGTTTTGGAGTTATCTCCCTTGGAAGTCGGTGAATTTTTTAAGACGCATTTTCATAGGGTTTAAAAAGAGGTCAGAACTCTGCGAAAAATCAGTGGATTCCATTTTCCATAGTATCAAACTGTAGGTAATCGAATGGGACACATTTTTGCTTCACATTATGGTTATGTAAAAATCAATAATTACGTCACCATTACGACAGAAGCACAAGAATGGCGATTTTGCACATTTTCTGCGTTTTGACGGTGCCTGTGTTTAACAATCTTCTTCTCCTGAGCGGCAAATAGTACAATAGTGTTCTATATATCGTTTTAAAGCCCACACTCCGGACTACTTAGTTTGCTCAAGGCATGTCAATATCTTAAATAGTGTCGGAGTTATTACCCTTGGAAGTTGGTCAATTTTGTCAAAACGCATTTTTATAGTGTTGATAAAAATGTCACAGCTCTGACCTAACCTCTAGGACGATTTTCTTGAAACTTTCAGCGATGATAGTCTGTATGCTGAAATTGATACCATGTTGAAAAAATCCCGACTTCCGGCTTCCGGTAAGGGCAGATAAACCAAAATGTCAAAATATTTCAAAATCTTTCACCCTCAATATCTCAAAAACTATAAGAGATAAGTTGACCAAGTTTTCACTCAATGTAGACAACGCCATTATCCATCGGTTCAACGCATAAAATCAGTCGGACAGCAGAAGAAATTTTCCGCAATTTTGGAAAAACTGATTTTTTTGTCGATTTGTCTGTTTTAATGGTGCCTGTGTTTAAAAATCTCCTTCTCCTGAACGGCATATAGTACAATTGTGTTTGATATATCGTTGTAAAGCCCACATTCCGTACTACATAGCCTGTTCAAGGCATGTTGATATCTTGAATAGTTGTTGAGTTATCACCCTCGGAAGTCGGTGAATTTTCTAAGACACATTTTCAAAGGGTTCATAAAAATGTCACAGCTCTGCGATAACACAATGAATTGCGTTTTTTAAGGTACCAAACTGTAGATAATTGAATTGGGAACATTTTGCTTCACATTATTGTCATATAAAATTCAACAATTACGTCACAAACCACGACCATTAGGACTGTTAGCATTTGGTTAGTGGTGAGATAGCTGGTGAGATAGGTGAAGGAAGCCAGTAAAATATAGCAGCGATGCACCGTGAGTGACTTTGCAATGCCCAACGAAATAGTTCCCTCTTTAACAGGCCGTAGCTCCGTTCTTTCTCTTATTATTATTTGTTGCTTAATTTTTGTGACAGCTCTCCTGAGCCTAACCGCTTGGTCGATTTTCATTAATGAAACTTTCAGGGATGATAGCCTGTATGCTGAAATTGATACATAGTCTGAAAAATCCCGACTTCCGGCTTCCGGTAAGGGCAGATGAACCCAAAATGTCGAAATCTTTACACCTGAATAACTCAAAACTATAAGAGATAAATTGACCAAATTTTCACTCAATGTAGACAACATCATTCCCCAGCGACTCAACGCATAGCGGAAGTTCGCCGGCATGATAGATTTTTCGCAATTTTGAAAAAACTGAAATTTTTGCCGATTCCTACGTTTTGACGGTGCCTGTCTTTGAAAATCTTCTTCTCCAGAACGGCATATAGTACAATCGTGTTCGATACACCGTTGGAAAACCTATACTCTGGACTACTTAATTTGTTCAAGGCATGTCGATATCTTGAAGAGTTTTGGAGTTATCGCCCTTGAAAGTCGGTGAATTTTCTAAGACGCATTTTCATAGGGTTAAGAAAAAGGTCTCAACTCTGCGAAAAATCTATGGATTCCATTTTTCATAGTACCAACCTCTAGGAAATTGAATGGGAAACATTTTTGCTTCACATCATGGTTATGTAAAAATCAATAATAACGTCACCATTACGACTCAAAGACAACCTTCGCGATTTCGCAAATTTCCGCACCTTTTTGACGGTGCCTGTGTTTAACAATCTTCTGCTCCTGAACGGCAAATAGTACAATAGTGTTCTATATATCGTTTTAAAGCCCACACTCCGGACTACTTAGGCTGTTCAATGCATGTCGATATCTTAAATAGTGTCAGAGTTATTGTCCTTGGAAGTTGGTCAATTTTTGGCAAAACGCATTTTTATAGGGTTCACAGCTCTGCGAAGACACAATGGATTTTATGTTTAATGGTACCAAACTCTAGACAATAACATGTAGAACAATTTTGCTTCACATTCTTATTATGTAAAAGTCAATAGTTACGCCACAATTACGCCACAAACAGTAAGGGACATTAGGATTTCGCATTTTTTAGCTGGAGGAAGTGTCGTAAAATCTAGCAACACTGCCGACGTCCTGGTTTTCCAGTGCCCACAGAAATGGTTCCTTCTTTTACAGGCCGTAACTCCGCTGTTTTTAGGTGTACATTCAAAAGAATTAGTGTTCTGGAATTGCCAGAATGTGATCTCTCCAGCAGTTTGTTTACCAGCCTCACAGTGAGCAGAATACACTTGACTTTTTTGACCACAACAAAGTCTGCAACAGTTACTAGTAATGTATCTTACGGTATATGCGTCCTATAAAGAGACTACCACTGCAAAGCGTGGTCCACGTGCAAATACGGGAGACGATGTGAATTTCACCGACAGATGAAATTGACAATGACAAGGAGCTGTCAAATCTTTGCTGAAACGTTATTCAATGCCCAAAGAAATACTTGCCCTTGAATTGGCCTTTACATTACATCGGCATTATCCTACCCATACAGCACCGAGAACAAGTTTGCATTAATAAACACTGCAAATACAGAGTCAGAAATGAGTTTTATTTCAAATTTTTGAATGTGTGTTTAACAAATGCATTCTATATACACACATAAATCTATAGTTGTTTCACAAGTGCAGTATATGCATATACGTCTATGCGTCAGATACCTAGGATGGTGGTGATTCCAGAACACTAATCGTTTAAACAGTACACCCATGGACAGCGGCCAGTTAAAGATAGAACTATATCTTCTGTGGGAACTACTTAAAAGCTACATGACCCCGGCTGCATTTCACCGATTCGCTCTCGTGTCAAAAATATGTTCTGCCTGGGTTTTGGACGCTTTCTAGCCCTTCAATACACTTCAAACACCCGGAACTCTGAGTGTTAAAATTGACGGTCCAGCTGGCGTCCAAAGAAAGTGAAGGTACAAGTGAAGGTAGCCACGGAGACCGCCAGTATTGCCCTGGAGTCTAGTTAAGACCGTCAGTATTGCCCGAGAGGAGGCAATCCTAGTTATCTTCCATCAACACAACTGGTACTTGCAGTATATATATACAAGAAGTAACATTAACCTATGATAGATCTATTCAACTACCATATTGACTCGATGAAAGGAATTATATTCCAAGGGTTGCAAACTCTGTGCTCCAGATTATGAAATGTCCATAAACGTGAAATGAAAACATTAATGTTTGCTTATGATCACACTATACAACATATACCTCTGTTGGTCTTGTGGTAGACAGAAGCATCACCCAACCTAGTGCCCAGACGTCTGAAACAGACAAGTAACGTCTAACATTCAAAGTAACCTATATTTGTACTGTAGCAGGTCTTAAGGCTAATGTTTATCCTTTCCATTGTTCATTAGCTCAGGGAACATTTGAAATTTCAGCATGCTAATACTCTAACTGCCAGAATGTTTCTATGCGGAGGTGCTTCATTGATCAGATACTGAGTTTGTTTTACTGAGGTATCTTCTCACAATCACACTTCATGTGAGCATAAAAGCTGTCAGAAAGAACAGAAGAGTATATCATTTGAATTTAGATGGTAAACATTAGTTGTCTCCAAGCAGATACACCTGATTCATTAAACAAGGATCAATGAAAGATGAAATGTGTGCATGCTTATGTAGCAGGGCATGGAGTCATCTCATAGATGACATCTTCACCTTGTTAGCTTGCTGACGGGGTTAACCTCTTTGGTCATGCGGACAAGGCGTCTGACTTTGGATCAGAAAGTTTGAGCTTTGAATCTCTGCACTGGACTCGGAAATATTACACTTATCTAATTTAGGGACAACATATATAATTTCAAATCTTCATTTAGGCGGGTTTAATGGATAATTTCACTCATGGAATGTAGGAGTAAGGCATCTCCTTATGTATATATTAATATATTCCATCAAACGTACAGCCATATCATCCATATCTGCCTCAGGCTGCACAAACCTTGAGGTGCAAGAAGCGCTTCTACAATCCTATCCATGGCTCCAAATTTCAGAACACGCTGACTTTTTTGTGCTTTACAGCTATCATGAAAATAGTAGTCTAAAAGACTTGTCATTCTTACTTTGCAATGGAGTTTGCTAGTTCCGTGTGAGAGTTGCCAGCCACAACAATCATAGGACATTTTGTTCCCGTTGATACAGTACTCATCGCTAACTCCGAGAAAGTCGAATCCAAGTCGTGTTCGCCTTTCTCATGTACACAACACGAAATGTCCTTGACCTTCATCCCCAGTCTATGGGTGTCCTGATGCTCATTTATGTCAAAAATCGTATTTTATTGTGTGATAATCTTCGATTTAATCAAAATATGTTTTCGTATAAAATAATATCTTACAAAATACACCCCAATGGACAAATAATCTAAACAAATAGAAACAAACTACGGTAAAAGTAAACTCCGCGCATCGACGTTTAGGACACAAACTACGCCCATCTAAGTTTAACACGTGTGTGGTAGAGTTTAATGCATCGCGGGAAAAGTCATGTGCTTCCACCAAACTGTAAACATGCATACGAAAATGAGATAGGGCATCTTTCTTATGACAATATTTCTCAAATTTGCATTATCTGGTGGATGTCTTCCCAGACGCACATGTTATATCATGTCGAAATCGTCATATTTTACCCGAGGCAGAAGCAAAACCTCAGATAAGGTGACTAACTCTGAAATAAAAGCTGAAATAGATGTAAACAAATCTGCACACGTTGGACTCAAAAGATTGAACGCGTTTGCATCTAAAAGAAAACATGTAAAGATTGAGTATGAAAGCCATAAAAACACAACTGTCAAGCAGGAAGCAGTTAAGGACGAGACAAAAAGTTACAACAGAGAGGTTCAAGTGAAGCGAGAGAAATGGGAGCCTCCCAAGTGGAGGAATCAGCTGAGCAACATCTATCAGATGAGGAGCAAGAGGAATGCACCCGTGGATACCATGGGCTGTGACGTCATTAGTGACACTCGAGCTTCTCCAGAGGTGATACACTATACTTATATATGTCATGCATTATTATTTTTAAAGTACATGCATGGATAATCAGCAGTAGATAATGATAATAATTGTACACTAATTTTAGTCAATGGCAAGAATAAAATAATAAAACGAATAAATGACAAAGAGAAGAGTTGAAGATAATTGACATTTTATTGACATCAGATATCTAAGTCATTGTCACTTGATTCCTTGCTTTAGACAGGGTTTTATCCAGATCGGTCCAGATATGGGTCTGTAATGTAAGTAAATATCATAATATATATCCTGTTAGGAAAACTATGACAGTTACGTAATGTTAACCAGTACCACTAACATGTGTCAAGGCCCAAGGGACCAGAAGACTCCATAATTTTGAGGGTACTTATAGATGAGGTATGTGAAGGTTCTGCCAAACTGCAATGACACCGCTAACATTTTGCCTGTGTTGTAGGTATTCCGTTACCAAGTACTGTTGTCACTGATGCTGTCGAGTCAAACAAAGGACCAAGTGACATCAGCAGCAATGGCAAAACTGCGCCAACATGGATGCAACATTGACAATATTTTGGGAACATCAGATGATAAACTAGGACAGCTGATCTACCCTGTTGGCTTCTGGAGGGTAATTACAGCTAGGCTTTTTTGTTAGTACTATATCCACAGGGATTCCAAGTTGTTATAGTATTGTGGTATGTTTAACATAAGAGGCCACTTGGATTGGATAGTTGACTTGGTGGGCTGGTTGTTTGTTTGTCATTTCATCCCAATGCATTTGCTGGTGCTCATAATATAGACCACTGGTATGTCTGGTCCTGATTCCATATTGACAGACCTTCATCATACAGATGGAATATTGCTGAGTGATGTGTTTAAGCAGCAAACTAATGAAAAGCACTCAGTATGCAGAGCATCAGATATAGGGCTGGGACGATTCACCGATACATCACGATACATTTAAGTTTGATACAGCTATCATATCGGTGACTGATGTATCGATACAAAAAGATACACAACTTTTTTTCAAAACAGTATTAACTTAGACATGTTAAAGTACGTATTTAGAGGAAAATATGCAAGTATGATAGAGTTACTTGTTTGTTTATTACAATAAGGTTATTGTTACACACAAATACCTTGAAATATATCATTTTAAATCTTAATGCTGTGTCATTCTTTGCAAGGTAAAAGGTGTATGTATCGTTATGATACATATCTGTTATTGCAGGTGAAATATCAGGCGATAAGTGGCACAATGTGAACATGTCCATTCCATCGTGTATCGATGTTATTTACAGGTCATCTGTTAAAACCTTGCAGGGACTGTTTGATAGACTTCCAGCAGGCACTGCAGGTCAATGTAAGTGGCAGAAAAGTGATTATGTCCGTCCATCTGTGTATTTGACAGTCTAAGTAAACTTAGGCTCAGTATTATTCGTTACACTGCTATACTGAGTCTAACAAAACTTTATAGAAGGTCGCGTCAGCTAACCTTTTGGACTGACCAATGAGAACACAGCTTACCAAATCGCGAAAGTTAACATTCGCACATACCGTTTGAACCTTTACCTCAAAACCTCGATCGCTTCAGAGTGATACACGCAATGAGTAAAAAGTCGCTGAAAATAGCGTTTTTGTCAATATTCAAGAATGTCATCTTGCAAAAATGTAAGCAAATAGTAACCAAGTCATTAGAAACCCATTAGCATATATACTGCAGGTCAAATATATGTGTTTTATGCGGATTTTCAGTGTCAGCGACCAAGGAAGAGAAAATTCAAAAAACGTTTTGTAAGTCTCGCCAAACCCTAACAGGTAGTCGGTGTCTGATTGGTTAAATCCGTGCAGCCGTCTCGCGTTTGATTGGACGGTCATAGGTCGCTCAAAGGTTAGCTGACACGCGACCTTCTATAAGGTTTTGTTAGACTCAGTATAGCAATGTAACGAAAATTACTGAGCCTAAGTTTACTAAGACTGGTGTATTTGACTGGTTATGTGTCATTGTTATACTTTGTCATACATTGTCATGAAAAATTGACCCCAGCACAACACAGCTAAATAAAACATTAATGTATTAGTTTTGTTTGTCTGTTTGTTGTTTAATGCTACACTCAGCAATATTCCAGATATATGGAAACAGTCTGTAAGTAACCCGGTCTGGACCAGACAGTCCAGTGATCAACATCATGAGCATCAATCTACGCAGTTGGGATAAGATTGGATGTGGCAATCGAGCCTGACCACCAGATTAATGTTTTTGAACAAGTTACTTATGGAATCGCCCATCGAGATTGTAGATTACCTTTGGTACCCAGTAACTTTATTATCGTTAGAAGTCAACTGAAATGATTGAGAGGTACAGAATTGCAATTGATTATTTATTGACAATCTTGATATATTATTGACATAATTCAATGTACTGTTTGTTTTGCAGTATAGATCAATAAAATCCTGATTTTAATGAGACTGAACTCCAGATTAGATTTTTCTTGTGATTTGGCCCAGGTTGATTAAGTAAGTCACTGTGCCTACAAACAAGGATCGGTGGACCAAATATTGAAAATGGTTTGCCTGTTTCTGGGATGATAATATATCAGTAGTGGTTTCAATATAGTGACAGTTTGGGCTGACATCAGCTTTATATAACGAACATACAACTTTAATGATAACAAATTCTTGTTTATTGCATAGAGCTACGTTTTGTCCTTTGATTCTACATAAAAGGTCTACAGACAAGAAGTTGTTATCCATAAAGTGGTATGCTTTGTCATTGGCTCACCAACTTCTAGCGTGCCAATCAAACAGTTTTGCATGATTAATACTGCTGTTAAGACCACAGGTCCTCGTGTCTTTGTGAGGATTAAAGATTTTGAAAAAATGTATTTGAGATGACCCCGGCTCAAAATGCTTCACAGTACAATAAATCATGACAAGGACGGACACATCGATGTAACCCACCTGCCTGCTTTGCCGATCGCTACGCTACCACCACATGCAATCGATTAAAACTTAATGTAAACATATTCATGGATGATTGGCCTATCGATCACCACTGATGACACCTACCAATTCATTATTGTTATTTCTGCAAGTCGATTGAAAGCCGATTTTGACCCTCAACCTAACAATCTGGTCACTAATGGATGATAGCAGGCGGGTGGGTACACCGAAGTGTCCTTCATGATTTATTTGTACTGTGTAGCATTTTGTGTCCGGAGTCATCTAAAAAAAATAAATCTTTAATCCTCGCAAAGACACGAGGGCTTGTGTTTAAGACTGGTATCAAAATATTAATGTTTGTTCATGTATGCAGAGAAAGGTTGAGTACATCAAGAGGACATCAGAGATCCTGAAGACACAGTATGAGAAGGACATCCCAGGATCTGTGCAGGACTTGTGTAAACTGCCGGGGGTTGGTCCCAAGATGGCTCATCTTGTCATGAAGTGTGCATGGAATGTCATGTCAGGGATCGGGGTGGATACACACGTTCATCGCATCACCAACCGTCTTCACTGGTTCAAGAAACCCACCAAACAGCCTGAACAGACTCGGATAGCACTGGAGGAGTGGCTGCCTAGGTAAGATCAGAGTTATCTCCCCTAAGTGCGAGCAGCTTCATGGAAGATTACATCATGGTATTTTCTGTTTGTCCATCAGCAGAGATGCCAGCCCATACGATTTTATCGTATTCGTTATGAAATAACAACACAGAATACGCTACAATAGCAGTAAAAATATACGAATTTTTAAAAATAATACATTAAATTAAATTATCAAATACCATACATACTATACACAATAAATTTCAACCACATTTTATTCAGTATCAAGAGATATATGTGGATACATATATACTGATTTCGGTGAGTACAATGTTAATATCAAGGTCTTAGACTATATATTTACATTTTTTATTCAATACGAAAATCCTTTGTAAACGTTAATACTAATTTTGGCCCCAAAATACTAATTTTTGCATCAGTGTTTGGCCAAAATACTAATTGGGCTAAATTAGGGTTGGCATCTCTGCATCAGTCATAAACATTATACTTTTGCTACTGCAACTATATTTTAACATGTTAACTCCATCACTAAAGCCTGGTCTTATGCCTATTCTGATACTGATAGAAACTTGACATGCAGCCTCCTTATATTGATGGCATTGATATGTTTTAGATGTTCCAGTCCACTTTTCTCTATGGCCAGCTTTGAAATCTGTATGATCTATACAATGTAATGAATGTAATGAAATTTTCTAATTGTGCACTTGACTATGCTGAACTTTACTAGGGCACTACACTAGTTATGTTTGACATTTTGTTTATGAACATTCTCTTAATTCTCTTGAAATGTTATATTTCAAAACTAAGTTGTTGGTTTTTCATATGACTGACTTTAGTTCTTTCTACCCAGGGAACACTGGCATGAGATCAACCATCTACTGGTGGGTTTTGGCCAACAAACATGCCTGCCTGTTGGACCCAAGTGCCATCAGTGTCTCAACCAAAACATATGTCCTTCAGCTGCAAGGTCAAATGTCAAACAAAAAGGCAAGGTAAAGATTGAACATGAGTCCCTCAAAGAGGAGAGTGCTCTCTCACCTGAGGAAGATGTCGATTTGCGAGACATTAAGTGTGAAGTTGACACATCTTGTACTGAAGATGAACACCTGTCATCCATTGAAGAAACAGTAAGGTCAAGGTCGTCGCGAGGACGCCATGTGGTGATAAAGCAGGAGCCAGATGATGTTTAGTGCTACATTGAGAGTTATCTAATGGAGTTAAGTTTTAACCAAAGATTCTTGTACATAGCATGTCATACTCATAGTCCATGTGCCCATGTACATGTGTATGCGGCCAGGGTAGACAAGGCTGTAATGTTAGTGACTCAGTTGATGGCTTCTAGTGAGTGTCAGGCATACAATATTCACAATTCATCAACAATATCAGTGTATTGAAATAAAAAGAAAGAATTATTGAAAAAAAAGAATTGTTCAGTTTGTGTACAAGAGTATCAAATAATTTCAGTAGTGTGAACTGCTTTAATATACAGTCAAACACTTATGTGTCACACTTATGCTTGTCTCAAAGTATAAAGCTTGATCCCTGCATATTCCTTACATAGTCATCCGCTGGCAGTTATGTTGAACCTCGGATAGCTTCAAGTATTTTCACAGGCCCTTGCAACTTCCACAAAATGGTGTTTGACTGTGTGTTGATTTTCTCACAATTACAGATTCTAGATAGGGACTGATTTCCTTGGAAATCCAAATCAGATAAGACTACATGGGTGCCTCCAACACCACAATCATCATTACTCAAGTTTGTTGATTGTGTCAGGAATGGTCAAAGCTACACCAGACAAACCAGTTGTTGATACAGTGAGGGACGTCCAACATGGTGAGAGTATGATGACAGGCACAAGGTCAGGTAATGGGTTGGACTCTGATTCGACGATGAATCTCTCAACAAGCTGATGTTACAGTGAACCAGTTCTAATTGAGAAGACATGTGCCTGATAGAAGCCAAGGATGTTGGTTGACTGATTGAGCTGTCAAGGGATATAGTTACTAAGACAACAGTTAACTAAGAACAGAAGAAAATGATAACAATGAGTCACAAGCATTTGGCAAATAAATGCCATGGTCACTCCAACGAATACAGTTCCTCATGGAGACTGAATCAAGCGTGCAAATGGCCTTCCAAGATGTATCCATCCACACCACATGATGGTCTCCGCACCTCCATCTACGGGAAACCCACCCACACTGGCCTGTATATCCACTACAACAACTGCCATCATCCCCAGATCAAACAAGCTATCAGCGCTACCCTTACCTGCAGAGCCATAGTGCTAGGCCAACCTGAAACGTCAACAAGGAGATATACCACCTCAAGACCACCTTCACCTACCTGAACGGTCACCAATGCCATCATCCAAAACGGCAAACCCAGAACCAAATCAACCTCATCACCAATAAGAGTCACCATCCCTTGTGAAGAACACATCAGCCACTAGATTGTGTCTCCTAGATTGTATCTCCTAGATTGTGTCTCCTCAAGAAGACTGCCATCATGGACGGTCACATTCAGTAGCAACTTAACCGCGAAAACACAGAGAGACAGCTGTCAAAATATCGTTTCAATGGTTTGTGATGGATTGAGATGACGATGAGATCTGAAGTGTCAGGATGTTCGAAGGTTGAGAGAGAGGTGGTGGCAAGGTAATGATGTGTACTGTTATTTCATCTCTACAGGGGACCTTGCGAATGGACAAACGACATGTTGAGTTCTCATGACCTTGACGTTGGCAGTTTCCGTGTCGTGTCTTCATCCTGGACATCTGTCCATTGCTGTTCTGATACAGTACTCCTTTATGAAACAGAAGAGTTCAAGCCGAAACTTTGGTTCATTTACATGAAATGATAAACGTTGATTAATAGTGACGGAACGTATCCATTATGTAAGGTGGATATTGTGTGAAGGTTATCCTAACTTAAGTTCAAGTTTACTGTCTGAATAAACTGGTATTATAATAGCCCATTCTGTGTCGACAAACAGCATTTTGAAATATGCAACCAATTCATTTAAAATACCCTTCACAATTGTTGCTTTCACACTCTGAGATGACAGATGACCGTGTAAGATGGCGGAATTATACTCGCAAGAGTTAACAATAAACACTATTATGTACTATTTCAACCAACTGAACTCATATCGGATGTTAATATACTGAGAATGAATCGTGGCGCGACATCTACAGCATCTATTGACTCACACAGTGAACTTCGAGTCATTTGGCAGGACAGCTCAGCCTTTGCCTAAGTAAAGGCTAGCATGCTACAACAATTCAGTTTAAACAAACTGATTCTCGCATTTTACGTTTCTGTTTTTACTCAACATGTGTCTGTAATATGTATAGCACAGCTGTTGATGTTGGCACTATCGCCTGGAATCAGTGATGTTGTGATATTAAAAAAGACGGATTCCTGTTCCAAAGCTCCTCTTCCTGTTGTGGATGATCGAAAACAATTCACCAAAGAAGTGAACATCGCCGAAAGTTCATTATCGTTTTTGAAACAAATGTTTTAGAACATTTGTGCCTTCCGTATTTAGAAGGAAAAACTTAAAAACGTCAATACCCACCATTTTTATCACACCGTTGTGTTTGTTTTAGCGACCTGGTAAACAGCAATAAGGAAATATAAATATTTTATTCCCGCCTTATTTCTGTTTGCCATCGATTACCTATCGGAGGTGATTATAGAACCAAGCGTCTCAGGTGTTCTGGCGACTAGACGTAGCCCAAGAAACACGTACACTACGCCAGTCTTCCACTCTTCAATGAGGGCGGAATTGAGCGTTTAAAGGCTGACAAACAACCGACCAAGTATTGAACGTTGACGTGAGACACATTAAAAACATCCAAGCCGGCGTTTCTCAGACGTTGATTTATTTGTATCACAAGAAAGCGTGACACGTGCAGTATGAGGAACTGCATTTAGTAGCAGAATTTGGGGCTTTGGGCGGCGTCCCCTACAGCTGATCTTCTACATTTCATGTTTCTGTGTGGATTTTTGTACGCTCTAACATAGGTCAGCATGTCTGTTGATATAATACACATTGTAATGGGAAGAATGTGTATTACAGTTTAACAACACGTCATCTTTAGCCCCAATTCACCATTCATCTGTAACACATCCTTGAGTTAGCAGTCATCATGTCCTGTATTGGTCAGCGAGGCTTCTGAAGTCTTGCACATCCCGTACGACACGAGATGTTGTCTTTGGGTAACACAGCCAGGTAACATGCATCCTTGGATCTGGCTCAGCGAGGACGTCTCCCACATGTGTGAATGATACCTCGTCGGAGCCATGAGAACAACGTCGTGGCGTGCACAAACAAGCGTCTGCACCGACGTCGTTCCACATTCCGAGCGGCATGTTATTACTGTTTGTATAATACCGACGTTATAAGAGCGCACTCTCCAAACATGGCATTTGAGGACCAGCAATTCAATCCACATAATTTCGTGTATGAGACTAGACAAGTATCCCGGAAGTGCAGTCAACTTGTTAAATAATCTTTTCATATCCGACATGAACCATTCCTGGCCATTTTCTGTTTCTCATGGGAAGTCTCGGGCGAAGTTTCATCCTGTATATATGATGCATTGAGGTTATGCACTGGGCTCCTTCAACAGGACGTTATGTCGTACTACAGGTAGTGATAATTAGAGGTTACCGGAAGTCCAGCCTGCTTAAACATACGTTATACTGATATTGATATGTTAGCATGAACCCAGGCAGAGTCCGATACCAGTATATCCACCATCACAGTCTGGTTGCAGTATATGGTATTTACGAAAACACTTACCATGTCTGTTGTCTGATAGAACTCATGTAAAGTCTCCATGTCTCATTCTCAAGCACACAAAGGAATACTATTGCTTTAAAGTTTGTGATCTCAGTTGTGAATATTATTGTTTAAAACGTAATAACCATAGATGTACCATTTTGACGAAACTGAAAGCTCAGCTCACCTGAAGTTTACTGAGAAAACAATGTCAAATGATTGACTACCTCACAATTTACATTAAAGTTGAATTCGGTATGGGACAGTTGGGCAAAATTTGGCATTCCCATGGGCACCAGTTGTGCGTCTCCTGCTCAGACCAGTTTCTTCAGTCAATATGTCTGCTGGGTTTGGGAATTTAGCTTCATTTACAAGTGTCTTGATGATCGGCTGTCATGGAATAAACGTCAGGCATCGAATTCTCTTCCGCGTATTTAACAGTAGAGCTTGAAATACATACAGCAGCGAAGCCACGTCAACTGTTTCATATCTAGATCTACGAATAACTATTCAGAGTGACGAAAAACCAACAGATCTAGCGTTGGGTATCCACACACTCTTTGAGCTTGCTCTTTCCATGTGGTACGACACTCGGTAAAACGTTGCTTGTTAGGGTTAAAACATCCCAAACCTTATGTTAGTAAAGTAGACAAGCAGAGGGCATTTCCAGGTAAGACGCATCAGTGCCATAAATGATGTCTGACGCAGTTCCCTATTTAGACTTGAACCATGCTGCCCTGTTTCTCAGGTGAGATGACCCGTGAAGATCAAGGGTAGTCTTCAGCAACCCATGCTTGCCACAAAGGCGACTATGCTTGTCGTAAGAGGCGAATAACGGGATCGGGTGGTCAGGCTGGCTGACTTGGTTGACACATGTCATCGGTTCCCAATTGCGCAGATCGATGCTCATGCTGTTGATCACTGGATTGTCTGGTCCAGACTCGATTATTTACAGACCGCCGCCATATAGCTGGAATATTGCCGAGTGCAGCGTAAAACTAAACTCACTCACTCAGTCACTCTCAGGTGAGATGACTGTGTTGAGCAAGGTGATAAACTCAGCATTTTGCCAGTACCAGGTATCGTTACTATTTGATGAGGATTCATTAATACATGTTTTCAGTCGGAATAATACAATGGTTTCGTTATGTTTAATAAAATCAATCATATCAGTTAACAACAATTCTCTCTGGACACCGTGTGAATGGTGGCTGCTAAGTAAACGAAAGTGCACAAAGTGCTTACCCGCTTCACGTGGTTTTAATAAATTTCAATGATCAATACAAATCACTTTCCCGGCGATGGATTTCATAAAGCGGGTAATCGAGACTGGTTATTCTCTGGCGTTGACGTTTCATAATTCATTGCTGTGCTCATGCCACATTTGTTTGGAAACCCAGTGTTATAATACAGTAGATGCTGGAGTGTTAATCGTGCATCCACCTTGTGTGCATGAAACCAGCAGCCCATTAAGTTGACATCACTGAAGATGTCCACAGGCATGCACCATGTATCGTGCCCGACTTACCTCGCGTGCCGGCCTCGTGTAGTGATCAAACAGAGACCGCTCCTGTATGAGTATCTGAGACTCACAGTCACACATTCTCCACATGGTCGCCAGTGTTGACTCCACGAGAAGTCCCCTACTAACACATATACACGTTGTCTGAAGAAGAAACACGTAATGGTTCAGTTTAAACAAGGGCAGCGTTGTCCGCCTGTATTTTGTTTCTCCACGTCGCTGTAGGTGATTTGTGTAGTTGTAATAATTCCATGTATAATGGATTTGTGTTTGTTGACATTTTCATAGTTCCGTGTTTTGATCATATTTGTTCGATATTTAACGCATAATCGTGTAGGAAAAGACTTGCTGTAGGAAATGAATTATTACCTGCTCACAGACGTTATGTATGACGTGCTAGATTATATGAAAACACGTATCACAATAGAGGATGTGTTTTAGTTTGCTGTATACAACAATGTAGATTTTTGGTGATCTGTTGTTTATTGTGACGTTTAAGAAAGCTATCCATACATCCTCCTGAAATCACGGTGTTGAGGGAGCCAAGTGTACATCAATCAGTCAGTTTATTGCATGAAGGCCATAGGCCCATATACCAAATAGATATGTATAATATGTACAACATATACAACATATGATACACACGTTACATTGAATCTCTTCTCAATACAAGCGCGTGATAAATAAATAGTGCTACCTTATATTGTAATAGGGATGCTTTATTATTGAATACAGTTTCGTAGTATTAATATTTGATTGTAGCCATTGTAGAAAATACATTTGCCTTAAATCATTATATAAAGGACAAAGCAATAAAAAGTGTAATTCATTCTCTAAAGTATTACAAAATGGACAGAACCTTTTTTACAATTTATGAATATCTTCCTTGATTGATGGATATATGGTTTAGGCCAAGTCTCAGGAGTCTGAAAACATTACGGAGATTTTTATTACGTAAGTTGTAGTTAAAGGCTATCCTTTAATGTCAAACCATTCGCGTTCCTTTTGAAAAGATGTCCACAAGAACACCGAGACTGTTTGAACACGAAACATAGGTAAAATACTTTATTTACGTGCCACGCTTAAGCTAAAGGTTCAGTAACATACATGAGATGTGGAACAATATGATTGTGAATGATTATCAAGCACTGTATATCTAATGAAATGTTTGTGTTACATTTGATTTCATTGACGTTTTACCTTACATTACAAATATCATATGTCTGTTCCAGTAAGGCCTTAGTCAACCATGATATATTACATGTATAAGAATGCTACTATTGAAAGCCTAGTGATTGAAGCTTTCACTCGTAGTCGGTTTCGGTTCCCCATATGGGTACAATGTATGAAGTCAGTCCTGGTGTCCTCCGCCGCGATATTGCTAAAGGGCGGCGTAAAACTATGCTCATTCATTCACTCGCTTCACTTCACACTACTGACCCGCAACGAAGCCTCACCACCCAATCCTCTAAGGAAACTCTTGGGACCAGCATAGTGTGGAGGACATAATTCCCCAGGGGAAACAGATTCTGACCCTCGGAGAAATGTTGGGAATGTTTCTGTTGCCAATATAACGAATGTCTTGAAGTCCAATTTTAATCACACTGTTTATAATACGAGCGGAAATGTTTACCAGACGTGAGAAATCTGTTGCAAGAAATAAAACATTAAGTCATCAGTTAAAATGTTTACATTCACACGCCCATCTGCAGAAAGATCTTTTCAAAGTGATGTTTCAATAAGCCTGCAATAGCTTACCCACTATGCCGTCGACAAACTTAAAACAAGCACAATTTGGCAGAAAAATAGTAAAAACTATGCTATTCGCTGTTCAAACATCTTTTGAACAATATCTGCGTCTATATTAAGCTATGAACAATCAGAAAATCCTCTGGCTTGGCGTGATTTAGAATTTTAAAAACACCATTAGAAGCATCTGCATTTTAGCACTGAACACTTGGCAGTAATGTGTTCTGTATACAATTTCTTTCCACCAAAACAAACAGTGCACATCCTAGAAGGCCGATCATTAACCTTCAATTAAGGCTTGCAAACACCATAGCAAAACAGTTGCCAACGACCGGTCAGTATACCACGTTCCCATACATTCGGCCTAATGACAATGGACGGGGGCTGGACCTTCTGGCTGTTTATTCTTCTTTTCTCACAGTTCTGTTTATTGAAGAAGACCACTTCCTCCATGTGAGGACCTAAAAGTCAAGATCATTCAAATTTATATGTCTAATGAAGAAACAACACTAGTAATCGGAATATTTATTCTTTTGGGCGTTTATTCCTCAATCATCCGTTGATCGCCAATATCCTATTTTAATGCTGGTGTCCAATGTTGATGATGAGATTTTCTTCTTACACATAAAGACAATGGGGCGCTTTTGCGGCCATCGTCAGTGTATATTTGTACATGCGAGAATTGTCAACTTGGCAAGCACCTGCCGATGGGAGGTATTTACCGTCTCCAAGCTGCTAGGCAAATTCTCCGATAGACTATGGGAGTGGCTTGTGGTTGGAGAGGATCTCAGATGGCACTGTTATTGTTTTAATGTATTGGCGAAGACTCCCGGCATGCACCATTCAGTGCTTGTCGTCCTTATAGCATGGGCCCAAGTCTCTTCTTAGCACCGCATCCGGGTCACGTGGGGCTAAAGGGTTTGCGGTGTGACGTCACGCAAACAAACCGCCGTATAAAGTAGCACTGGTGTTTTGATGTGCACATTCATAAGAGATCCCTTCCACGCGGTGTGCATAACATCCTTTAACACCTTATCAGCAGCATTCTGAACCAAGTGACGGGGGAACTCTCATACGAAGAATTCTAGGCGTGGTGATCTTGCCATCTCAGGACATACTTTAAGGACATAAACCCCACGCTGCCGCAGTCTCTGGACGTTTAAAGAATAACGCAGCGGATTATCTGGACAACTGACCACAGATCTTGCTTCTCCGACCAGCCTAACGTCAGGTCCCATTCCGTACCTGAGTTTGACAGCGTCATGGCCGTCAGCTGTGTCGTTCTCGTCCTAATGACGGTACTTCTTCCTACAACAGGTAAGTGCACCGCCCGTGTGTTAAATATATCGTTACATGCTCATTTGGTTTTCACAAAATAACCATTTACAAAGAAGTAGACGTTACATGAACCTATAAACAACGTAGTAATGGGTGTGTCCTATCCAGTAAATTTGCTGTTGAACTGTATGTTTCTTGCCGAAAAATGTATTGCACAGTATGTAGGGTTATGAACTGTATGTTTCTTGCCATTTGCACAGTATGTAGGAGTTGCCATTCGAAACGGTAATATCTGAAATTGGATATTTGATTCACCTAGATATAAATATTATATGAATATAGAGTAAGGCCACAGGTCATGTATACCCCACATCATGATCAATTCTAAAGATATTCCCAGAGTTGATATATGACTCAAAATAATTCAGCATAGCAAAACTATTCTTGAAAGCATCATTCATGAAAGTTGTTTCACCCATGTATATATATCAGAAACGTAAAAGGTTCCACCGTTGAAATGTGATATCTTCTTAGACATTAAACTCAACCTGGAACCAGAAGGGCAGAGGTAGCATGTGTTTAACTTTGTATATATATGATTATATTTCAATGGAAAATTTGAATATTTATTGAAAAAAGTCTGTTCGTGACTGGAAACTGTAATTTTTAAAAGGATATTTTGTTACGTATTAACTCTCCCGGCAGAGCCGGATCGTGAACACAGTTTGTCATTGTTGACAGTGACAATAGGTCGTGCGTTGAAGTGTTGGAAATTATCTCATACTTTTTTCATTGCATTTCTTGTGACTGACCTTCGATGTTTACATAATCGCCAAATGTGACTGCTCTAAGATGAGCAATGCTACGTACACATAGCTTAGGATTGTTCATGAACACACGGTGACTTGTAGGAAGATGCAGACAGAGTTAGATTCTGCAGCAGTGTTACCACAGTTTGACTTATAACATTCTGTTGACAACATTCATACACACTGCGTTTCGGAATAGCTACTTAAAACTCTTAACTCGCAGCAGTTAAAACAAACAGATGTATCTACCCTAGTGAAAGGTTAAAACAACAGTTACTACATTTATCTGTCCAGAATAGTTTATTGTTTTTAATTGTGTTCTGGATATTATAATTCACATATTTGATTTTCTAAGTGGCACGCTCTTATTGAATTAATGAAACCGAAATCGATTAATGAATTAGATGTTCTTAATGTTATGATGGTAACGTTTGGTAACAGTTATTTGGTTGTAATGCTTAATGTTACCATTTAATCATATGACCATTTACAGGTATTTAGCTGTATGTATGTAACATGTTCATATTTCCTATAGAAACATTGGAGTTCGGGATATATCAAAATAGAACGAAATTTACCGATGATTCATTTGTCGGCTTTGTAAATTAATCATTTTGGCTTGTGGCAAAAAGAGAACAATTCGCTGACTAATATTGTTTTTATTTGCTGTCTGCCCTAATGTCTGGGCGACACTTAAAATAAAAGCGCCCAAATCTTTCCCATATTCATAAGAATTTTCTGTTTTGTGCAGTGTCGATTGTATCATTCTGACCTTGTCACTATCATTTAGTTATGATACACAGTGTTCGGGAATGGGTGATGTTTTTCTGCCCCACTAGCCGCACCCGTCAGATAAAAAAATATATGCATGATTCAAAACTGTATGTATGGATCCATTTTAACAATGCTAACAACTATGTACTACTGATGCCAATTCTTCTGTGCTAGATATTCAGACTTATCCACGAAAACCAACCGCATGTAATTTGCATACTGGACATGCATTAAGAAGAAAATGGTAGAGACTTCTTTCCTATGAAAAGATCTATGTGATCTCCATGATCAACATGGCCACTAAACAACCACCCATCCCAGTAACCCGTTCTTGTATCTACGTAGCGTATACATATGTGCAATACGTACACGTCGTTGTATTTAAACTCCATCACAAGCTAGAGTGTTGAGAATAACCAGCATGTCATGAAGGAATCATGTCATATGTAGGAAACTGAATTTCATTAAGAAAGTAAGATATAATAATAGAAGTTGTTATCCATAAACAATCTTACTTTCTTATTAGTCACCAACTTCTAAATGCCAATCAAACTGAATTTCATTGACGCCAAATTTTAAAAATGTCTTGGAACAAATGCAGAGAAGTGTGTATCCAGAAAGACACATGACTGCTTCACTAGCAGGATGTCAGTCATTAGTAACAAATACACGTTGAGGTGACACGTCCTTTCCTGTGTAACTGGCAGTAATGAACAACTGAAAGCTCCAGATACGCCAAGATGTAATACAAACGTACCGAGCCTGGTGATCTATAGTAATATGAAAGAACCGCATGGTCCTTAACTGATTTTGAGAAGTATGGCCGTAAACCTGACCTGTCGCAGCATGCCAGAATATTGACTATAGTAAAGTGAAAGAAACAATGGTCTTTAACGTTGTTGAGGAGCATAAACTCAATTACGAATACAACAATCAAATTGTATGATTGTTGAAAAGTCTGTCCTGAAACTGATGCTTCCATCTTGTTGGGATTATGGTCTGATACACCCCGAATCTATTGAAAGAAGGCTTTTATGGAACTAAACTTTCCCCATTTCGTGCCTGAAGTAAATATTACCATGTGTGCGGGCTGATAAATCATGTGCCAAGTCAAAAATATTTCTGTTTCCTTTTGTCACTTCCCTACGATGGCGCCTAAATCACCGGCTTTCCTACCTCGAGATATGCATTGCTGTAATTCATAATGCACACATAACACGCATATATATAGCATCTGGGTTGTTTATTCATTGATGACCTTCATCCGATGTATGAAATAATGTTTATAGTTTCCAAACTTAGCCTTCACAAGCGCTTTGATCATGTCAAATTGGACAGGTCACACAGTGATATGATCTTAACTCAAACAGCGAGTATATCGCATTACAAATAAAGGGCACGACCATATCAAATACAGAGATTTTATATCGATTATGTCTGTAACGCTGATTACTATACCAAAGTTCCTTGTTTGATTCCCGAGTTGTCTCCCCTACCACCGACAGTGGATCAAACGTTGTTTGTTCGGAGCTTGCTTTTGGTTTTCGCGCAATTCGCCACAAAACGTCTCCAAATGTGGCTGCATTTTTCGATCAATTTACAAAGCCAACATTGAAACGTGGAAACTATTTGTATCAGTATTTACACTTCGTTGAGTTTGATTGTTCCAAGGTCTTCAATTGTGTATGCCTTATCAAACTATCTTAAAATACAAACATGGAACATTCTTGATGATTTCAACACGTAAACGATTTCATTTCATCTTCGATTTTCTACGGTGTAATCAGAGAGGTGAAGGCTGTGTTCCAACATCCGTTTGGCAGCACTGGACTGCGCTGAAAAATATCCTCGTCATCAACATGTATGCTAGACATTGCGCCGGCCATTGCACAAAGAGATTACTCATATCGAACGCAAACATAATTTTTTAAGTGTACATTTTTTAGCTATCGGATCTTGTTTGTCTTCCGTCATTGTTTATGCTGAGCCAGTGTAGGGGCGGTATTGGTGACGTCATAAGTACCTGTCATAGTTCTAGGATAGTTTTGTGTCAAGTTTTGGCAGTTGATATTCAGCCAGTTTTGTTTTTTTATAAATATTTACCCCTATGCTTCATCATTTGGCGTTAGACTTTCGGCTTGTATGATGAATGTCTCTTAGCAAACTGACAGCAAATAGGAAGGAAGTTTCAATCTGGATCGCGAAGTTTGAGTGTAGGTTATGATAGAATGTGTATTGTTTCCTCTGAAGGAACAAACTAAACCCAAGGATTTTTACCAAAACTAAACATTGCACCGAAACGAAACATTTGTTAATAGACACAGTGACAAATTCCAAATATATATAAACGACCGCATACATGGCTCATCATGATATGTATGTAAGCATTTACACCATAGGCCGTTACAGCTCACACCGAAATGTGTGGACACACTGACTGCTGATGTTTAAGTCTACTTTGCCAGCTACAACTAGCCTATGTACTATAAACACATTTCAATGCAAAACTCCCCTATGATATTCAATATCACGAACCACAACACAGCTGAAAACCCTGGCGTTTTTACCTTTCATGTGTAACCCTTCAGTTTTGATCAATTACCCATTGAAATAGAAAGTATTGTGTGGACTAGAAGTTGTCAGTATTGCATCACTATTATCATATTAAAAAGACATATGGTCACCAGTTATTTTTATTGCTTGCAACTTCTAGAATGCCTCTCAAACGGTATATTCAATGCTGATGTGTCAAACCAATGAATGATTAAAGGAATAAATAACAGTGCACTCCAGGGCTCAAGTCTTTTTGAAGGCTAAATTGAAAGTAAAATGAACCAGTTAAATAGCAATGTGTGCATGCATTGTTTCTATCCTCCCAGCCCTAGCCAACAGTAATCCCCTGTGAAACACGTGACAAGCGCAACATCAGAGAATATCGGCAGCGACGGGGACTACAGTTCTTACCCCATGGATAAGCACCATGATGTCTGTATTTGTTTCTAATATACTAGTGTTGTGCATCTGTTTCTACCAATGCGCCTTGAAGTCCATGTTAACCAGCGGTCATTGCCAGTCCGGGGAAGACGCTGACGTGGCCAACGTAGACGGCAGTATGATGCTAATTCCTTCATCGCACACATGAAAGGATCAGAATCACTCTAAAATTGGTTTCAGCCATCAAGTAAAGAACATGGAATCCTTATAAACCTTCAGTGTAATGTTCGTCCAACTGCTAAGTGCTACCAAATACATTCCTTGCCGTTCAAGGGGATAGAGACACCTAGGCCACCTGTATCTCCACACTGTTCCTCTGTGTGAAACAGGGTCTCGTATAGTACAGGTATGACGTGTTTCACCTTAGTAGAATGATCTGATCAAATCTGGACATGAATATACATCTAAGATGCGATTGGACTCAGTATTTGGTATCAGTATTTTCGTTTCGGAAAAGGGCAAATATTTACGAACTATTAGATCGTTTCTTTTTGGAGAAGTGTGTTCATGATTAGTTTATCTTTTCTCTGATTTATTGGTGAAATTAAGAATAAATATTAAGTTATGATGTTATAGAAATGTGCACGCGTCGTTGTCCTGCCATGACTGAAACCTGCCACTGACGGCATGAGACCCAGTGTGATGATCGACCGAATGTAATGTCCATCAAATCATTGATACACCAACATAGGTACTGTACACTTGACGTAAATGTATGCTACAATGATCAAATAGTTTCTAGAATAACTGTATTTAAGCAATTTCTTGATAAATTGTTTATAAAATATATGACTGTAGTTTTAACAACTAGCTCTTCCACCAGGTGTATGTACTTGGTGTTGATACGATTACGTAAGGGGTCGGTGTAAGGTCATCTGAAGGAAGTGATAATCCAGGTGGATGGCGTGTTGTATGTACAAGTTTACCTGGGACATGTAGATGTGAACAGGAATCAGTATGTGCCTGGTTAGCTCATGATGATAGCAGTTGTTGTGTCGAGTATATATATTCAAGATTATCTGACGTCCTAATATAGACAGCAGTAAAAAACGTTACGCGACAGCTTGTTCATGGCGGTTGACGTGATTGTATAACATGATAGTGATAAACACTTTGGATAAACAATATATCAATTGTCAATCAATCAATCAATCAATCAATATATCAATAATTAAGTGATCCTAGACATATAGAAAGTCAAGGGTATTTAGGGCTAGGAATCGGATGTTCTTTCATAGGAATGTTGTCCCAAATCGGTCACTCTGACGGTGATTGTAACCGTTATTTTACGCTACGGCATTCACGTGTTGTACCGAATCCCTGACTCCAGATGTACACTTGACATAGTGTTGCCACGTTCCACGGCCAAGTACAAACCGCTTGTTCAAAGGTTCAAGTTCTCGTAATTTCTTTACACGACTTGCTAATTGTGTGAACAGACTGGCCACTGACGACCATTGTGCACCACAGTGCCAACAGACCACGGTGACTACATTGCAACACCGTTGGACGGTCAACACACTCTGATTGTCCGGTCGTTGACTTGCTGTGGGTAATTCTAAAACAAAGACCCAAGTCATAGCATGTTTACAGCGCCCTCAAGCAGGCACGTGGACAAACATGTCTGCCACGTCATGTTTGGCGAAACTTACTACAAACGTAATGTCTCTTTCAGAATCAGCATGTGCAGTGAACTCTACCATCCTATCCTTCAACGAGGAGGTCCCAACAGGTAAGATAATGTGGATTAGTTGGCTAACGTGGTTCCAGACTACACGTGGTTTGGAGTTGAAATGCTTAGTCTGACGCCATTGCATCAGTAGCACAAATGACCACGTGAGGTGTGTGAGCTGGAGTGTATGTTAATGAGATGTTTGTTAAGAAGGATGGAGGTGTGTCGGTCATGCTTTGTTTTGGTATGCGTGGTTCTGTCAACTGTTTATTTTGTGTTTTTGTAAATGTCAAGTCGGCTGAGGTAGACTTGGAGTTTCCAGCTGAACCAACGTCCATCATGTCAACAGAAAAGACACGTGTAATTATGAAAAAACAACAAAGTATATTTGCTTCAAACTGTCCAAATAATGTGACAAATATTCTAAGAAATATATACAAATACCACACCTCTGTATTTCTTTTAAAAATCCTGTAATGTTTTGTTTGTGCTATTTAACGTTTACTGTTCCTTTTAAACAACACCTTTTATGTCCCTGTATTCAGTAGTGTCATTGCCCACCTTGGATTGATTAAACTTGTTACTGTTCTTTGAAATATGCAAAAATGAATGATCGAAATGATATTTCTTGACCAGTTCAGTGACCGCTTACACAGATGGTCATTTTATGGCAACATACCTCCTGGAGGTAGTGTCGTCGATTGCACAATATTTTACCGACAACGGCCAGAGTTGGGGTTGAAACGTTTAATGCACTGTTCATTTTAATTCGTCAATACTAAGATTTATTATGTTATCAATTTACCAATTTCTAAGTTGCAGTTGAATGCATATTTCGAAATTAAAAATCTTTCCAAATTTAAAGCCTTTCAGGACGACCCACGTCTGTTTCCAGTTCTCCCGTTAAATAATATTTGCATTAACATGCAACTTCTTGAAACAATATTGAAATCGAGGAGTCTTCTTGAATCAGCGTTACCGCCCCGGGTGTTGAATTTCCACAAGGAACACCAAACACACAACACTCGCCCAGCCTGACCACTAACGCTGCCCTGGTACCTGCAATGTCAATTGTTTGGCCCTCAGCCACTCCACGCCTCTCCTCAGATGACCACTATCCAAAGTTGACGCACATCTTGACCCTCTTCTCACAATCCAGCCAGCAATACAGGTCTAATCTTCACCAGACCCTCCCTCTCCCCCTCTCGTAAACCGCCCCAATGTTGTCTTAAGGCCAGGTGATGGCTGGCTTAGTACTGCTGCCAGTCGTTGTGCTGATGTTTATCCTTTAGCTTTACGGATCTATTTAGAATCCCCGATTTTCCCCGATTGATTATTATTCTGGTTCTCGTTTGACAAACGTATGTCAGGGCCGAAACTATCGTGCATTTGTATTAAAACATTGGAATAAGATCGCCTCACCCCCAAGGTGGCTTTGTGGAATCGGGACCCTGGCGTGTCTCTGAATGCTAACTCCCCTGGCGTGTTTCTGTTTGAGAGGGCGTAGGTAGGATGGCCCAGTTGTGTCCCGATTTTCTGTGTAGGTTTAAATCAGTTAGCTTTCACGATCCGTTGGTCGTGAGTTCGAATCCCAGACAGTTACGGTCTTGGGTCTGTCACTACAAAATCCGTGGCTGAGGACAAGGAATTAAACGTGTACGACATGACTCACTTTTAGTTTACCAAATATTGCAGAAATCCTGGTCCAATTGGTTTAAACGACAACCATCAATCTTTCATTCCTGCATGCCATTACCACAGAGCGCGGATGTGTACAATTACCTGCACTCATCTCAACCCTTGCTTCATACTTGACATACCATTCGAAATCCGATCGACATGCGCCCAACCGACTACCATGCGCGAATCACAAGACGTTTGTTAATGGATATATCAGAGCAGAGTGTCCTTGACATTGCATCCTCCGTGCATCTCTTCCCTAGGGACGCTGATCATGCAGATTATCCGAGAGGACGGGGAGAAATGGGCGTTCCGGGAGGACGGACCGGAGGGGTACATCGGACTCACCACTGACCCCCGGACAGTCATCTTTACGTTCCTCAAGTCCCCGGATTTGGAAGAAATCAACAATGGGACTTCAACGGTAGGACATTTGCAGAAGACCTACACCACACTCAAAGAATATTATTTACTGATGTGATGCCTGTCAAGATCCTAATGGTTATTTGTATATAAAGGACCCCCATTATCCATGAATAATGAAAAACAATAAATAAGAAAGTTGCCTATTGTTCGTGTTGCTTGGGAAAACATCACGGTGTTTGATAAATGAATCTCGCCGAAAACTGGCGTGTTAACAGATGTGCCTTACTGAACTGGTAGTAATGTTATGTGAATCCGTGTTATACAATGCTTCTCACACACTCATTGTCGTCTGTTCACGATTCATCAATTACTGTTTCAGTCATCCCGACGCAATTCTCTCCCTTTCACACTGGAGTGCATGTTCAAAGGCTGGAAGCATGTTGTGAGTACATATATGACGTCATCAACACGAATACTTGAAATAACATTTTTTTATCTATACTGTAGAAATAAAATCAGTTCCCTTCCCAAGGTGTTTTGGAGAGGTATTTATGAAAAGATCATTTTATCACGTAAACGTGTGAATGGTGTGCGCATAGGGTCGAGCACATAGTTGTCATATTTCTGTTCTCATGTTCAGCTACCTATAGACCGAGGATATTCGAAGACTACTGTAATAAGCCGACGCACAAAACCATCACGCGTGTTTTAGTAATTCATTACGTCGTGTTCCAGCTATTTGTTGTTTCCCTGTATTGTGTGACATACGTCATCAACTCTATTCGAAACGATATGGATAAGAAGCATATCACATACATTTAATCGAAGAGAAATCATATTGTGTTATGAAACTGGTGATATTTTTGAAGTCATGAATTTATTCTGATGGCATGGGTGTTTCTGCCTTCCTGCGAGTGAATGGTTTGTACTGACTGTTTTGACGCGATAGATGTTAGATAGAGTGTGCTTGTCATCACTGACATGGTCACCCCAGCGTTCGGGTACACGTTTGAATTACCATTTGAGGGAGCTAGGTTTCAAAACCACTTGGGGAGATGTGTGTGTTATGTTATACAGTTGTGAATGTAGGTTGGGTCTGTCGGGAGATGTTGACGAACAGCCAATTGTGTAGCTGGCCTCGTGCTGATTGACGGGATATGAATGCGCTGAAATGGAAGAGACACCACCACCACCACCCCCCATCTGGCCTGACAATTCTTGAAACAATCATGCAGCACCATAGCAGAATAGATTCTACTTATATATAGCGCTGTGCTTATCTCACGACACAATAGTTAGTCTCTCTCTCTCACACACACACACACACACACACGCACGCACACGCACACACACACACTCATGCACGGGATATCAGAGAGGGTTAGGTGTAGTCATTGTACCAAACTGCTACACAAGGTAATATCTTTTCATATTCCTCCCAATGGACCATCTTAAAGGGAAGCTATCCCTATTTCTAGGTTGTGTCTAAATGTTGAAACTGTGGCCTTGTGAAATCAGGGTAAACTGCTATACTGAAATACACTAGTAATTGAAACATCCAAGGTGGTGCCGAGTGGCAACACAAATTGTTTGGACTGTCAGTTTGCCTGACCCTAGCGGCCCGAACGTATATAGGCGATACAACGTGTGAGGACTGAACATGTCAAAGTGTCACCTCGGGGGGTTCAAGCACTGAACCTGCAAGTCAGTAGCAGAGGGTTGACGATCATATCGGGACGTCATCGGTGTGTACAGCCAAATAAATATACTTTTGTTTCTCATCATATTTCGAAATAGAAACAAATGATACGTGACTCGACTCCTCAACTACTTAAGTCTGAACTCTGTAGTGTACCAATATGTACAAGGATGTAAAACAAACAGCTTGGCCCGATTTGCCAAAAAACCTGACCACATTGTCAGTCGTTCTCACAAGACAAATTAAAATGTTCAAGTGCAGAATTGCGCCTGACATACCCAAACTGGGAAACAAGAACAAAACTAGTGTATGTATATATGTAGTTGCATGGAGATACTTTAAGGGGTCTAACCTTTTTCATATATGAAATCGTATCATCAAGTTATTATGAAACTTCCATTCAAAATGTTCAGCCGGAAGCTGTAAAGGGTTGTTTTGCACAGACATGAATTCATATATATATATATATTCATCTTGGTAACATTATTTGTACCATTCGTATCATTAATCAGTGTATTGCTTGCAATGTTCTGTCTATATATATTGCTTTCTGTGAGACTTAACACAAGCGGTGAACTTTCAGTTTAAGCAAGAGATTGTCATCTTAGACATCAACGATAATGACCCTTACTTCAAAGGAGGCCCCTTCGTCACTGAAATGAACGAGGTACGTTTGACAATCTATTCCTTCCATATTGAAACAAATTCTAGTGAACCTACATGTCATATAAATAACGAGGTCACAGCAAGTGTCAATCCTGACAGCCTTAATTATGACTATGGCTCCTGTCTGCAGATGACGTCCATTGGCAGCAGCGTCTTCAACCTTAGAGGCAAAGCTTTTGACCCCGACATCACGGGGATGGTCTCAGCGTTTAAGATCCTGCCGTATTTCGACAGCAGGGTAAGGATAAACCTAGATGTGGAGATGTCTGTAAAGTCATCCTCTAAATGATTTCTAATATACCATTAAATATATTGAAGCTATCATGTTGCATATCATATGTCCAGAATGGCATGAACATATTGTCAGCGTTCTGTGACCAAGGCAGTGGCTTACGCATGTTGACCGTCGGAAACGTCGTAATATGACCCTGAATATCCCTGTGCTTGAATCAGTGGAATGAGGTCTTCTTTAAATTCAGGACACTTATATTTTGTAGATGCTTGTAGTATTACATTATGCATGATTTGTTTTGTCAAAATACATTCTCCCCATTCGCAGCTTTCATCTTACGATTGTTGAGTGACATTAATGCTTCATGTGAAACCCTGTCTCTAACCTATGTGGGATTTCCTATGCAGGTTGACGGGAGCAAGGTCTTCACAATGTCCAAGTCTGGTCAGGAAGTAATCCTTCAGAGGAAGCTTGACTTCGACGTCATGGAGGACGCCGAGACTGCTTACTACATGCTCAACATCTCCGTCCAGGTCAGTGCTCCATCTTCATCAGTAATCCGTGGTTGCGATTAAATGAGAAGCAAAACTATTTTCAAGGTCATGAAATCTTTCTTAACATAAAAGACATTTTGGTATACATATGTACTCTTGAAACGTGTGTGTTTTTCCTTATCTCGCACGGTCGCGCTTTGGGTTTGTTTCCAAAGCTTTTATTTTTAGCCGACATTGTTCTGGAAACCAGGATAATAGTACATGAACCTGGAAATGTTATTGATCCCTCCACCTCGTGATGTTGCCTGACCTATTACATTGTGTGTCTTCTCCCCTCAGGATGACGGCTACCCTCGACCCCGTGTGGCGTTCACGTCGCTGAAGGTGTTTATAGTTGACGCTGATGACCAAGGTCCCGCCTTTTTGTATGAAAACTGCCCTCTGGTGGACGGGTACTGTGCCACGCCCTCGTATGAAGCCATCATGGAGTCGTCCTTTCAGGTAGAAAATGACCTCCGCCCAAAGAGTGAAAAACAGAACAGTCTCGCAACTTATCGGTAGATACCTATTACGTACTGACGTGACGTTTAGCAAATATGTTTCTGTGTGTAAAACTCTAATCAAACCTATTTTTTCAATATTTTCGGAAGTTACGTATCGTTATCTGACAAAAATAGTGATTCCCGGTGCCATGTCATCAGACTGATCAGCGATCTTCGCTTCGAATGTAACTATGGTCCAGTACGCTAGATTTTGTTATTAGTTGAGATCACGTCTGGTATTCAGTATTCAACTAAGTTGATTTGTGTTTTCCTCAGGGCGAGTTGAGCATCTGGCCGGGGCAGATCCATGCACGTGACCGAGACTCCCTTAACAACACCATCGCCTACTCCATCATCAAGGGTAAGCCGCGACCTGCAGGTCCAATATCTGGCATGTCGGAGTGTATATCACATACACGCAGCACCTGGCTGCCTTCAGTGTGTCATGTGTATGGATGTTGATAGATACACACTAACAAGCCCACCGATTAATGATTTATATGAAACAACGTTTCAATGCGAATTAGCACGGTTTATCATCTATTATGTAGACCGATGCTCACGATATCTATCACTGGGTTGTATGGCCTGGACTCGATTATAGACCACCACCTTATATCTAGATTATGCTGATTACAACAAAGAAAACGTTGAAAGTGTTATATTATGATTTTTCTTGCCTTTAGTGAAACCCCCAACGTATGAGAAGCATTTTACCATAGACCAGTCAGAGGGTAAGCTGCAGGTGACTAAGCCCGTCCACCGACCCAACATAGATACGCTGCATATAGTCATCAAGGTAAGGGGCAGTTCTACGTCAAAACGTACTTCACTGTAACACTTTGTGTGTTCCAGTCAACATCTTGCAATTGACGCATAGGGTTTTGTCGCTTCTGGGTAAAGATCAGTAACTCAGACGTCATGTCAACGCTTATGTCAACATATCCATGTGATCGTAATACTCAAATAGCAAACAACATATCAGATCTTTCATCGAACTGGAAAGAAGCATCTTAAATGAAGTACTAATGCTTATAAAGCCGTGAGCTTATTTTGTACCACAGGTAATATAATCAAAACCAAAATGTCCGTATGCTACAGGAGCACATGGTCACCCACTTCAATATGTTTGTTGCTGCAGGCTGAAGAATCCTCTGAGAATAGGCGCTTTCTGACAGCCACGCTCAGGATTCAGCTCCGCGCAAGAGGCAACTTCTTCAGCAACTACCACCCCGACCTTCGCGACATCCCCATCAATCAGAAATTCTCATCCGATGACGTCGACATCACAGCGGGAACGAAGATCCCCTTCTCCATCTTCATGTCAACCGTCGGTGTGTTCCTTGTCATCATGTGTGGCATGCTGATCATCTTCGTGAAATTCGCCCGCGGTAAACCCAGCCAGGACTCGCCCCGATCCTGTGTACCTCAAGCCCGGAAGGTCTCCAGTGACTCCACCTCCAACATGTCCTACAACTCCACCGACACAGCGACGTGCGTCATGTTCTCCTCTCCTGAGGACGACCGTGACTCCACCACCAGCAGGAACTCCTCCATAGAACTCGACTTTGACGACGCCATCTCCTTCGCTATGCCCAAGTCAGATGCACACGTGTCCTCTGTTTCATTCACATCCCAGGAATGCGGAAACTACAGCCCCAACAACCCCAAAAGCAGCCTCAAGGACACCACAGCCGTCAGTCGCTTTCGCAAAAGGGTCAACGAGCTTTTTTCTTTTCAAAAATGCCGAAAAACCAAGCAGAAATCTAGAGTCCGGTTCGACATTCGGAACGTGTCGAACTTTTGATACCGTGTCCCCAGCCAGATTCTACTTTCGACCCGTCGATCTTTCCTACTTTAAAAGTGATCCTGAATCCAGACAGCATAGTAAGTCTCCAATCTACATGTACATAGAGTGTTGAACGTGCAGGCTGGAGTGTAAGTCTCCAATCTACATGTACATAGAGAGTTGAAAGTGCAGGCTGGAGTGTAAGATGTGTTCTTCAGAGAAGGAGCACAGGTGAGACTTCAGAGACACGAGGACTCCTTGAACGGAATACTCCACGGTGTGTACCAACACCACCTCGTGATAGCGTGATGGCTCCGTCCTTGAGTATTGCGATACTCATCATAATGAATGTCGGTCTGATGACGTCATTGATGTCGTGATGCTGTGACTACCTCATACCAAACGAACCGCATCAACACATCATACAAAGTATGCGTCATTAATAATTCACGAAAGTTGTGATTTATTTATGAAATTGTCATTAAATACATCTTAAGATAAGTTATTTTTTAAGCTAATTATATGTACTTTCGGTGCGTTTTTTCTCCTGTTAGGCTTAAGATAATATACTTTGTGCCGCCAGTATTAGGTCATTTGGTGTAAAGAATAGTCTAGTCTGATTCTGTGTTCTACACACCATACGGTGGTTCATGAATTGAATATACAATAGTTAATGGTGTGTATATGTGCATATTGTGTGTTTTATTTACTTACTTTTATAATGTATTGTTACCTGGTGTACATAACAGTTAAGGTGCCGATTTCATCCCTGTATGTGTATCATATATAAACCTTCCCATTCCCTGTAGTTCATCCCTGTATGTGTATCATATATAAACCTTCCCATTCCCTGTAGTTCATCCCTCAAATCGCACGTGCCGGTTATCTTCATATGAGACAGCTCATCTCCTCTGTATATCACAGTTCAACTCCGATTACTGCATTTAATCTCTGTATAACAGTGTCCATTGTTGTACACCACATTACGTCTCTCTACAACGATCCATCTCTGTGTGCCACAGCCCATCTCTGTATACTTAAGTCTAACCCTTTATACCACTGCCCATCTCTCTATGCAACCGTATATCTCTGTATACCAACGCCCATCTCTATATACCAATGTCTATCTCTGTATCCCAAAGTCTAACTCTTTATACCACTACCCATCTCTCTATGCAACCATATATCTCTGTATACCAACGCCCATCTCTATATACCAAGGTCCATCTCTGTATCCCAAAGTCTAACCCTTTATACCACTGCCCATCTCTCTATACCAATGTCCATCTCTATATACCAAGGTCCATCTCGGTATCCCAAAGTCTAACCCTTTATACCACTGCCCATCTCTCTATACCAACGTCCATCTCCCTATACCAATGTCCATCTCCCTATACCAATGTCCCTCACTGTATACCAAGACATCTTCATTAACCCCATTCAGTTCTCTTCATCTCTGTATACCACACCTAATCATTGTATATCACATTTAATTTCTGTATACAGCTGTGTATTTCTAAATACAATAGTCGGGTTGTTTTATACCACACACCAGATCCACATACCACAGTCATTATATCATACGTGATTGGTAATTATCGCAGTTTATATCTGTAAACCTGTTTTCATTTCTATATGCCTCATTCATTGAAATACATCCCACGTTCACATCTCAACCACACCTCATCTTTGTATAATACACCCCACTTCCACATATATACTAGTCGCTCTATGTATACCGAAGTCCGTATGTATATACCACAGTCCAACTTCCTGTACCACATTAGCTGATATACATACCACAGCCCATCTCTGTATACCAAAGTCTAACCCTTTATACCACAGCCCATTTCTATATAACACAACCAATCTCTATATACCACAGCCCATCTCTGTATACCAGAGTCTAACCCTTTATACCACAGCCTATTTCTATATAACACAACCAATCTCTATATACCACAGCCCATCTCTGTATACCAGAGTCTAACCCTTTATACCACAGCCTATTTCTATATAACACAACCAATCTCTATATACCACAGCCCATCTCTTGATATGACAGTCCATAGCATATCTACATCCCCTAATTCATGTATGTCCACCCCAGTCCTGTATAACCCAGCTCATTCTGAATCCCAAAGTTCATTTCCAAATCCCCAAAGTCCACATACCACAGTTCATCTGTGAAAAACCCAGGACATTTTTATGTACCCCGTCATTGGTGTACAGTCCAAGACTCATATCTATATCACACTTCATTCCATATATGTACCCCCATTCACTTCTGTACATACCATCACACTTCAGCTCTGTATAACATAGCTGCTCCTTGTACTCCTGTCATGTCTGTACAACACATTTCATTTCTATATATGCTGAGGGGAAACATAAGGGATCACATGAAAGCAAAAGGATGCCTTTATTTTTTCCAAGGTTTCTTCACAAGCTTTGTATCGCACAGCTTGTGAAGAAACCTGTAACAACGTAACGGAACACTTTCATGTGACCCCTTATTTTATTCCCTTAGTATATATTTTAACTTCCATATCTCTCACTTACATTGCTATATAACCTATGTTATTTTTATCGATAATACAGTTCACTTCTGTGAAGGCACGTACATTTCTATGCAGAGGAAACCATGATCATCACAGTATACCACAGTGCATGTATGTCTCTATATGGCATCTCTTCATTTCTTGTATATCCCAGTACATAGCGCAGTCCATTTCTATAACCCACACATCATCTCATTCATTCAATATACCACAGCTCATACCTCCCGTCTCCGCTGTATGCCACACTCAAACTGTGCACACAATATATTTATATAACAGCCATGCAGTATTTCATCCGCTTTTGCTTTCATATATATATTCCTAAAAGCTATAAGCCCCCTAACACTATATAGGTATCGTTATAGCAAGATCGCTCCAAATGAAGCAATCTGTGGAGTACTGATGTTCAGTATAAGAGGAGGGGATGATATTGGTTTTGTACATACCTCTATTTATACATTGCATTCTAATATATGTTTTGTGCAGTTGACATTGAAATAAATACAAATGAATTGTACAGTGTGTTTGTTGTTCCATATACCGTATTGAAGCTACCTGGTCTGTTCGATTCTCTCGGGGACAGGCATGAACTGTGAAATGCACTAGTCGAATATGTTTAAGTGGTTTACCTGAGTCAAACTTCAGTCCCTCTCTTATCAGTAATAGCCTATCACCTGGAAAGGTGTGCATCACTGTACCGGACAATCCCGCCGTCCCTCTTCAGTGCAGACAATCTGATTTCTCTGTGACGTCAACTGATTGTTGACGTAATCGCTATGTGATGTCAATAGCTTAGGGGACACAATAGGCTGTGACGTTGCTCCATTGTCGCCGTCAGTTCGAACCGTAATTCGAACCCGTATTGATACTTTTCTGCAAATTTACACAGAGAACAGTGGTGCCTCACCTGCCTCGGCGGCCTATGTACACTTTAGTGGTAAACCATCAACAACTAATATTTTGTTGTCATTTATTGTGTTACATAAGTTACAATAAGATCACAAAAAATATTCACAGCATATGTTTCTAAAATACATAATCTAATTATTGACACACAAAATGCTTACATATAAGCATACTGTTTAAGACATACTCTATCTTCGATTCTGGCCAGTTTAAATCTCATGAACGTTGTTGAATCATGTATATATTTGAAACATATTTGCGTTGATTGCATCAGATTAAGCAGTTAAAGAGAAAAACGTCTCCTAGAAATATCCATATACATGATATTCTCGCAGAGCCTTTAACGGTGTATAGTGTGTTTAAGAAAACAAGAAAGCACAGTTACCTCCCTTGAAAGGCCGATCTGTTAGCTGTCTGGGGAGTACAAATTTCATCTCTGGTTGATAAAATTTGTAACACTAATGCTATCACGCACATTAGGTTAAATTCCTTTTCACTTACATTGTTTTCACTTATATACATCATTTCATGGTAAACGCATGTTAAGAACTCTAAACAAAATGGACTAGAACTACATAGGTGTAAATTCCTGACACAGGACGGAGGTCACGTCAGCTTGTACGGTATAATGCCTGCTAGGTGTGTATAAATATAATGCTATTTTCCTTTGTATCACAGATCGCATGTGTGTATAAGTTACCAAACAACATCTATTTACAGGAGCATATATATATGTATAAAATGCTGACTTCACTGCATATTTTCTGAAAAGAGGCATTTCAACATTTACAAAATATCACAAACACTGATCAACTAGATCTGAGATTCAGACGAACGTCTTTGGACGGGATGAAAATTGACGGAAGCATTTTACTTGATAATTAGGGCTCCTTGCCTCTAGGCAGGAGACCTATTGTAATCGTTCGGATTTTTATTATTATTATTTATTATTATTCCGCCGATTTTTGTACCAAACATAACTCCTAAACCAATGCTCCGAATCGCTTACAAAAATCACACAGATGCGCACCGAGGTGTAGATATTCCCTTAAAAGGCTCTTGGCCCAATAGCAAAGGGGAGATAATTCAAAATTACTTCCAAAATTTCAACGTTTGACAGCAAATATCTCAAGAACTAATTGTTCCAACACTTCCAAATTTCTTGTACAGATGCACAATCGAATCCCCAACAATTTTGCCTGGACGGGTCAAGTCGCTAAAACCTACCGTTTGGCAGTTATTTTTGTTTTCAGTTTTGGCCATGTTTTTCAGCACTTTTCTGAGTAGTTTGCTCCCAAAATGTGCAAATTCTGCACAAAAAGTGCCAGTATGGTAGATGATGTCCTGGTGATTCCAGAACACTAATTGTTTTGACCCAAGAACAACTGAGATACAGCCTTTTAAAGAGGGAACTATTTCTTCACCGGAACTTCTTAAAAGTACATGACCCCCGTGACCCCGGCTGTATTTGGAAGATCCGCTCGCCTTTCAAAACACGTGTTCTGGCTCCGTTTTGGACGATGATATCTAGCCCTCAGATACAATAGATAGAAAGTAAAGCCAAGGAGACCTCTTCGTTGCCTGCAACTATATTATTAAAATTATCACTGTTACAATCCTTCCTGGAGTGGTTCAGGTGACGTCATCTGGGGAATTTATTAGTAGTCATTGTCAACTGTTATCCAGTATTTAGGGTCGGTCTTCTCCCTGCTGCGAGAAGATTGCTTAATACGAGTCTTCTTCTTTGAGAAGAACTCCGCATCTGCACTGCCCTCGAACTCCTGTGTTCCATCAAACTCCTCACTCGCCCTCTCCTTCTTCCGCTTCCTTCTGCGTTTCTTCTTCTCACTTCCGGTTCCGGTTCCGGTTCCCATGTCCTTTAAGGCAGGTAACGCGTTCCCTCTTCCTGTGTTGGGCAGTGCTTCCAGCTGGGCCGTGGTCATCTTCGGCCATTGTTCCTTCCCGTCCATAGATAAGTCGTCTACGTCCGTGATGTTCTCGCTGACGGACGGGGAGACCGATGGACTCATTGGGCGCTTGTGTTTCTTGATGTAGATAACCACGCCAAGGAATGCCGCCGCCATCATGAAGACGATGACCCCAAGCACTATAAGAACGACCGTCAAAGTGTTGTTGTCTTCGTCCCGTGAAGCTCCAGTCTTTGCTGTAGTACTTACTGTGGAAGTTGATCTTCCCAGAATGTTCACCTGGAATGTGGTGGTTGTCGCCCGTCGCTGGTCAGAAACCTCCTGTGCCTGGCATGGGACACATTAACTAGAATGTTTAACATAATCGTTGACTCACAAATCAACGGACAATAATTCGGATTAATGAAGTAATGTATTTTGATGTGCCAGTAGGAAACAACAGAATGAACGTTACGTATTTTCCACGTAATTTTCCACGTAATTAAACTAAGACATTTCATACAGTGGAAAAGATACACATTTCAGACAGTGGAAAAGATGTGTTCCAAAGATCGACGAGAGCTTAGAGGGCGCGAACAACAAATATCTGGCTACGATCATAGCGAGAGTTCCGTACATTACATAACGATGCAGTACTAAATAGCTGAACTGACTGAAATGGACTTGTCATTAGTCGATATTTCTTATCCATTATCTACTTGTGTCATCCAGTTACTGATATGTATCTTGTGAAAGTTTCTTTACAGGCTTCTACGATGGCATATATGGGTGAAATGCAGTAAACAGATCTTAGTAATTGTTCTACTTAAGAGGAAATGCATGTTTGAGGAGTTTTGTTTTGCATTGTCCATTGGCATGATTTTGTTTATATTCCGGGAATAGCTGTATCCCTCTGTGGCCACTAATCTCAAGGGTATATATCAATTCGTTTATATAACGAAAACAGTAAAGGGCTCAAGACACACCCTTGGCGTAGTCCAATGGACGATTCAAATAACTCTGTGAAAGAATCATTAGACTTTACTGTATGTTTAACTCTTTCGTAAATAGCCCGTAAAGCATTCAAAATGTTTCCTGATAACCCTATCTTATTTAGTAATATAAGTAAACGTTTTCTATTAATAGAGTCAAATGCTTTACGGAAATCTGTTAATGCAACATAGAATCTACTTTTCCGTTTAGATAAATGTTTTTTGGATAAGAGCATTTAATACAAAAATATTGTCTGTTGTTGAGTAACCTACCCGAAAACCTGCCTGTTCTTCTCATATTTTTACAAACTGTTTTACCCATGACGTCAATCTCTGATTGAGAATCGATGTATATATGTTTCCAAGCACACTCATTAAAGTTATTCCCCTATAGTTGTCAGGATTCATTCTATCACCAGATTTATAAATAGTTAGTATTATACCCATTGACCACTGTTGTGGAAACAACCCATTCTTGAATATATGATTAAATAACCTTAGCAAATAGAGGATAATATGTTGTTTTCCTTCTTTGGGAAATTCACCTATCACCTGGTCGTGTCCATCAGCCTTACCTCCCTTGAGTCTATCTATTGCTTTGTTTATCTCACGCTCTGTGATAACAACATTAAAACCTGCCGTTATCTCACGAGTTTCTTCGTGATATATACCCTTGAGATTAGTGGTCACAGAGGGATACAGCTATTCCCGGAATATAAAGAACTTCTCATTTTACTTTTTGCGGATGATATATTACTCTTTTCAGATACAGTTATTGGTCTACAAAGACACCTCGATACGTTGAATGCTTATTGCATAAAATGGAAATTGCAAGTTAACTTACAAAAAACTAATATTATCGTGTTTAGAAAACATGGTGGTCCACAAAAATGTGAAAAATGGTACTTTGGTAATGATTTAGTTAAAATAGTTCCACAATATAAATATCTTGGGGTTTTGTTTACATATAATCTAAGCATGCAAAACTTTGTCCAAAGTGTTTGTATTAAGGGTAAAGCTGCACTATATGAGGTACTGAGGTCAATGAAATCGCTAGGCAATCTGTCCTATGAGTTGTACTTTAAAATAAGATAAAACCTATGTGTATGTACGGCGCAGAATTGTGGGGATATCAAAAGGTTGAAGTCTTAGAACGAATACAAACAACAGCCTGTAAAAGATTCTTAGGAGCACCGAGTAATACACCAAATGTAATGGCTACTGGTTAATGTGGCAGATTCCAAAGTTATGTAGAAACATTTATTAGATCATTACTACACATGACAGATAATAGACTTCCCAAAAAAGCTTATAATATGATATTTTGCTTAGATATACAAAAAAAAAGCTGGGAATCATTTATTAGAGAATCATTATTTAAGCTTGGGCTCGGATACGCATGGGTATATCAAGAAGTTTAAAATTATTTTTGAACGAGATAAAGATGAGACTTAAAGATGTTTCTGTACAAGAGTGGCATTCAAGTCATAACTGAAAGTACTAGATACAACAATTATTCTTTATATAAACACAATATTTTCCCAGATAAATATGTAACAAATTTCCAACTTTCAAATCTGAGACGATGCTTAGCTTTACTAGAACTGGAGGCGCCCAATTACAGATAGATATCGGACGTAGAAATAATATCCCAAAAGAAGATAGGATTTGTAAATTTTGCAACTTAAATGTAAAAAAAGATGAATTCCATGTTATTTTAAAATATACATTGTATAATGAAATTAGACAACAATATATTCCGCAGAAATACATTAAGGATTGTAATTTTGTAATGTTTTGCATACTTACATCTGATAGTAATAACGAAACTGTGTGGAACTTATGTAAATTTTGTAAACACGCCATTTCTATAAGATATGAAAATATGAAACACAAAATGTAAAACATAAATGCCAAATATGTTAAATTTCCATTACCAATGTATTTATGTGTGACATTATGTTTATTTGTATGTGGGCCTGACACCGCGAATACACTAAACTGAATTGAATTGAATGATTTTGTTTCTAATAACAAGTGTAGGTTTAGCTAGATTCATAAACTAACCATCGCAATGTATTTTGCGTAAAAACAAAATGCGTTTACTATATTAAATGGTTTGGAACTGTCTAGCCTTGAAGCTCACCTCAAGAAACAGGCCTATCTGAGCTTCGGTCGCAGCGACAGTCGACAAGGATTTGGTTATGTTCACGTCGCCAGTCTTGTTATTCTGGCTGAAGTAGTCATCGTACCCATATGGATTAGCTGAAACACAGCAATAACGTTTCAATGTTTTCAAACGACAGCTGGAGGTATATCAAGTTAATGTTGGAATCTGTACTTACTTCCCTTTATCTGGTAGGATATGCTGTAGTTGAGTGTATCCCTGTCTCGAGCCATGATCTTGTTTGGGGAGATGTTCTCTATCTGACCCTGCAACAGGAGCAACACGAATCATTAACAGACTCGTCTGTGTTATAATTCATCATTCCTTGTCCGATGAACATTTCGAAGCCGACGTTGTTGTTGTTTTTATTACATCGCCCTACTTTCGCTAGTTACCGTGGAACACGTGTCATTCCAAGTCCCATAACTAACCATACTGTGTTCTCAGTTCCCATTATACCCAGTGAGGTAAGATCTTCATTCAAAGAGGATGAGATTCCATTTGAATGATGCATGCTGCATGTAACAATCAATGCCTTATCAATGCAATGGAGGGTTGAAAAACACACACATCAAAACTATAAAACCCTTTCTAAATTCATAACAGGTATCTTAGTCGATTGCACGATTTGCGCAATATCATGAGCTTGATGTGTAGGTATCACAATCACATGGGGACGACACCAGGTGTCAGCGGAAACAAACACATGCAAAGTCAGGGCAATTGCTCACCGGACAATTCACGGGGACACATGGTTCGAATCCAAATAGGGAACTGTATCGGACAATAGTTTTGTCACTGATGCATTATGTTTGGAAATGTCTACCATAAGCAATGTCAACCTTTTAAAAACTTTACCGAAGGTTAGAATGTCGTAACATTCATCAAACAGTTTGGGGGCTTGAGTCAAATAACGCAAATAGGAATCTCGGGGATGGTTGTGAAATGTAGGCACCAACTGCTGCTTGTCATACAGTCATGTGTAGAGGGTTTTGTCACTCTGAATCTTTATGCATACATTTAAATGTGAAACAGATGAAGCGGTTACATTGATCTCTGCCATGTTTAGTTCAAGTTGGCAGTTGGCTATTTGACAGTGATTGAAGTTCAGGATCATCTGTATAACCAAGATTTATATTAAAATTCTTGGCCAAAACTATTTTTCTCTATTTTGACAATCCAAGCAAAAATTCTGATTCATATGCACATAGAAGCTGATCACAGGAACACAATTGACACTCATGTTCTTGTCTATCCTACCACACATTTTACAGGGCTATTCATGCAAAGACAACTAGGTGTTACCAAACACCCCTAATCGCCCGCAGATGCCGTGGCACTGCAAGCCTGGCAGCGTAGAAAACCGGGAGTGACAACCACCCATCTATTCCAGACCTAGCTACAATACCGACCACAAACCAGTACACAATTGCGCAGATGTCCATCACTAGATTGTCTACTTGAGATACGATTATTTACTGACCGCCGTCATACAACTAGAACTTCACTGTGTGCGGCATTAAACATCAAACAAACATGTGGTCAACGAGAACGAGTTGTAACCAGCCATCGCTATACCCTTCCAGTTATTAGCTTACCACAAACATGTCGGTGACGTAGGCTGTGTACGAGGTGTAACACGTCCCCGGTGTGCACTTCTCGTTGTAAAACTCCGGATCCTGGTCGTCAGCATCATTGATGTTGACTGTCATAGTTGTTAGGGATTCCCGTTTACCAATGTCCTGGGGTAACAATATCACAGCAGCATGTGTTACTGGGGGGTATCATGGTATGACTGTCATAGTTGTTAGGGATTCCCGTTTACCAATGTCCTGGGGTAACAATATCACAGCAGCATGCGTTACTGGGGGGTATCATGGTATGACTGTCATAGTTGTTAGGGATTCCCGTTTACCAATGTCCTGGGGTAACAATATCACAGCAGCATGCGTTACTGGGGGGTATCATGGTATGACTGTCATAGTTGTTAGGGATTCCCGTTTACCAATGTCCTGGGGTAACAATATCACAGCAGCATGCGTTACTGGAGGGCATCATGGTATGACTGGCATGTCTATGTAACGTGGAACCATAGTTAACACTGCTAAGAACATTATTAAGCAAAGGCGTGTCCAGGGAGGAAAGCCCAAAATGATGCAGGTGTTGTGAAAGAGCACGAGCATGACGCTGAAACACCTTGGAAAACAGGACAAAAACACGAAACACAATACAACTTACAAAACAGAGCTTGGGATGACATGACATGGCACGACATGTAATGGCATGACACGAACGACATGACATGACACATCCGCCAACACAGGTAAGTAATCCACCCTATAGCCTTTTAAGAAAGAAGAGTACACGACCATAAAGCTCACCTGAACGGACACGTTCAGCACGTAGTGTTTGATGGCCATCGCTTCAAAGTCAATATTTTTTGCGACACCGATCTCTCCTGTCTGTGTCTGGGTGATCGTGAAGTGAAACCTCCCATCTAACTGAAACAAGATGAAAAGGTTTTTTAGCTCAGTCACCCACTGATTTGTCCTTATCACTGTAACGTATGATCTTATCGTACGACATAGGTTGTAACAGTGGTATATCACATAAAATGTTGAAACAAGAACGTGCAGATTGAACAGAATTTGGACTTTTTAGAAGAGCGAATTCATATCGGACCTATATTTCTGTTGAAGTGAGGTTGTAGGCAATTTTCATCTGGGTTGAAGTAAAATAAGTATGGACCTTACGTTTTCGTTAAAATACTGTCGTATATCAGACTTACATCTGGGTTGCAGCAAGGGTTAATATGAATTTACACCTGGGTATAGGCAAAATGAGATAAAGGAGTTGATGCGGGTTGTTTGGAGTTAGAAATAGTATAGGACTTAGTAACAACGATTTATTGTTAGGGGTGATGTATGTAGTTACATATCGGTTTAAGTAAGGTTAATGTGAGGCTTTCATTGGGGTAAGGTCGGTGATGGTATTTTTTAAGTAAGAATTGATAAAGGACATCCTGTTATTTTGTAGGTTAAAGTATCAATTGGTATGGGACTTACATCTGGGTTGTAGTAGGAGTGGATATTGGTATGGGACTTACATCTGGGTTGTAGTAGGAGTGGATATTGGTATGGGACTTACCTCTGGGTTGTAGTAGGAGTGGATATTGGTATTGGACTTACATCTGGGTTGTAGTAGGAGTGGATATTGGTATGGGACTTACATCTGGGTTGTAGTAGGAGTGGATATTGGTATGGGACTTACATCTGGGTTGTGGTAGGAGTGGATATTGGTATGGGACTTACATCTGGGTTGTAGTAGGAGTGGATATTGGTATGGGACTTACCTCTGGGTTGTAGTAGGAGTGGATATTGGTATTGGACTTACATCTGGGTTGGAGTGGATATTGGTATGGGACTTACATCTGGGTTGTGGTAGGAGTGGATATTGGTATGGGACTTACATCTGGGTTGTTGTAGGAGTGGATATTGGTATGGGACTTACATCTGGGTTGTAGTAGGAGTGGATATTGGTATGGGACTTACCTCTGGGTTGTAGTAGGAGTGGATATTGGTATTGGACTTACATCTGGGTTGTAGTAGGAGTGGATATTGGTATGGGACTTACATCTGGGTTGTAGTAGGAGTGGATATTGGTATGGGACTTACATCTGGGTTGTAGTAGGAGTGGATATTGGTATTGGACTTACATCTGGGTTGTGGTAGGAGTGGATATTGGTATGGGACTTACCTCTGGGTTGTAGTAGGAGTGGATATTGGTATTGGTCTTACCTCTGGGTTGTGGTAGGAGTGGATATTGGTATGGGACTTACATCTGGGTTGTAGTAGGAGTGGATATTGGTATGGGACTTACATCTGGGTTGTGGTAGGAGTGGATATTGGTATTGGACTTACATCTGGGTTGTAGTAGGAGTGGATATTGAAGCCATATATCTCCTCTTGGTTTGGGTTGACGTCCCTGTCATGGGCGTGGTCCTTCAACTTGAAAACCACGGTGTTCAGAGCAGTGTTCTGCGGAGACAAAATGAGGTCTGTTATATCAACCAGTCTGACATGAACACAGTCTACCCTATATAGACTATTTACAATACCTCGGTCACGTTGATGGTGAATGGGGCATTGATGAACTCCGGGTCGAACTCGTTGACTGGTGTGACGATAACGAACCTCTCCAACGTACCCTTGAAAAACCATAATATCACTCTGTCAGTTTCTCAAATACCATTGTAAGACACTAAAATTGAAATAGCGCTTGAAATGTAACCTTACTGAGTTGATGACAATACTTACCCCCACTGGAGAACCGTTGTCCGTACATTGAAAGGAAAACGTGACAAACACAAGTTGTTCACCCTGAAATATAAAGAGAGCTTCACGGGTAATACCCTGTACTGACGCAATGCTTTAGTTTGTCCTGCTAAAGATATGTAATTTTATTGTTTTCTATATATACACCTCGTCAAAAGTATTTGAAAGTCAAAGTAGAAATATAAGTTTCGCTTTTTTACACTACACGTACATATGTAATATACGACCCCATCTGTGAACATAATATCACAAACACACCCTGTTCCGAGCTGCATGTGCATGCATGCAAGTTCCGGGTGTCGGTTTGCTATAAATGCAGTATGCACATACCTCCTTTTGGCGTATGTTATGTTGGCAGACACAGCTAAAATTTGATTGTAGGCATAAATTAAGCTTTATTTTGATCAACCGGTGAAATGCCCAAGCGTCCAGTGACTCTGAACCAAAGATGGCAAATTATTGGTATGTACCAGACTCGTATGTCATGTCGTGCTATTGGAGCACAACTGAACATTAATCACACTGTTATCAGCAGGCTGATACGTAAGCATACCGCTACCGGTGAAGTGAAGGATGCACCGAGGACATCCCAGAAAAACCAATGACAGGGAAGATCGTGTTCTCGTACGCCATGCCAGACGAAGCCCAATGTCTACTTGTACACAGCTGCGACATGGATGGCATCCATACAACAGAGAGTCCATCAGCACCATCAGACGGCAACTAAATTCTGCAGGATTGAGAGCAAGCCGACCAATCAGACGTCCACTCCTCACAAATCAGCACCGCCATGCCCGTTTAGCCTGGTGCCAAGCACGTGCTCGCTGGAACCTGAGGACATGGAGAAGGATCCATTGGTCCGAGGAAAGCCAATTTTTGCTGCATCATGCAGACGGGAGGCTGAAAGGCACAGAGTATGATCAGAGGAACATTTAAACTGAAGTTCCGTTTGGGGGTGGATCCGTCATGGTGTGGGGTTTTGTTCCTATGACTGTATACGTGACCTCATCACAGTTCCCGGGGCATTGAATGGACAGAGGTACCAGTACTTGATCATGGACGATGCTGTAGTGCCTCATTTCGATAACCATGCTCTCGCCACTCGTCCAGTCTTCGTGGACGATAATGCCAGACCACATCGTGCTCGAGCTGTTGTTCAGCATCTCCAACACAACGCCATTGAGACACTACCATGGCCAGCCAGACGTCAAGATATGAATCCTATTGAGCATTTGTGGAACATTTTGGGACGTAGGGTGAGAGCAAGGGATCCTCCAGTTCAAAACCTTCAGGAATTGACCCATGATGAGTGATGAGCGGCAGCAGATCCTCCCCCAAGAGAATCAGACGTCTGGAGACCAGCATGAGACGACGTATAGAAAATGTTATCAAATGCGAGGCGGTTACACCAGATACTGAGTTAGCCAGTCATTGTGGACCTTACTAGTGTGTTCGACATTAATGAAATGTTAACTGTGTTTTGTGTCTGTTGTAACGACCCCGACAGCCATACTTATTTCACCTTATTTTACGGTGATTTTAGTGAACTTTGGTTTGCTACAATTAAACCTTCAATAAGTGCTCAAATTCGGTCTTGTGTTGTCAATTTTCTGACTGAACGCTCACATGAGGCCAACTAAACATTTCAATGTGCTTTCCTAAGCACCATTTTTATGAGGTTGTAGATCCAGTTTTACTTAGTGAAAAAAGTGGGTGGTGCGATATTTATGACGAGGTGCATATATGATGTTGAAAAATGTTTGACTTCCCTTCCTATATTTTACATTTATAGCAAACAATGATGACGTATACACGGTACACATTTGGCACATATTTGGCACTCAGTGCTCTTACTAGGTCAGTAGAAGAAGCAAACCATTTGGTAAAGAGAAAGCGAGTCTGCGCTTCGTGACTATGTACCCATTTCTCGTATATTGCCTCCAAGTCCAGCGTTTTGTTGATGGCTAAGGTGGTGAAGGTGTTGTTGCTGTTCAGGCTGAAATATGGCGTCAACTCGGTGTTGATGCTGACAGGTTCACGTACTGTGAATGTCCATTTGGCTGTTGGTGGGGTACTGATGCTGAATATCACATGACCTGTGGTACAGAAAATCATACATCGCGCTTACGAAATCTTCATTCTGAAAGATATTTTTGTATACATGATTAATAGCGATAAAACGCATTTCATAGTCAAAACATTTCCCTTTAAAGGTTAACTAGTTACAATTATCAAAATCATGAAATAAATATTGAATATTTCAGACAGATCAACAGAAGAATACATCCCGAGTTATACCTAAATATGTCTATACATTAGTGAGGTATGTTCTTAGGTTAACCTTCGGGGGTTTATTTAATTTAAGAATCTACCTGGCACGTCTGTCTCTAGCACCTGCACATTCTGTGGAGGCAGGACGCTACAGGAATATGCAACTTCTGGAATAACAGGAAGTACATGGAGATGACCACTTTTACATTTGGCATTCGGAATCAGACAACTAATGACAGGAGTTATATGTTGCTATTGAGTAAACCACAAATATATATCGATAAATATGTGTTATATACAGTAAGCATAAGATGAGATTAGTTCCGAATTCAAGATAGACAAGATTTTCTTTCTGCACGAGAAGAGTCTCATCATACCTGTTTTCCCGGACATCCAGACTCCAAGGGCATTGTAAGTGTGTTGAATTCTTACAAGCTACCGGTAGGGTAGGACGTGATTACCCTTTTCACGAACATCTTGTGTCATCGGTGATCTCCAGTGATCCATTCATACATTTTTCACAGCTATTGTCCTTTTACACCAAACGAAATTTGTTTCCGAGGATAGGTAAGACTGATTATACGCCTGCACTGACATTTCTTATATTACATATATAGCATAACTTCTAGGTGTAAATGGTCGTTAACACGATTAGCTAGCTGTTCAGTCTGGCGTGTTGGGACATGCCACACATACAGTTTCTCTACTCTGGACAACCACTAAACACACCTTTAGCAGTAATCATACATTGACACAAAGTGTAAATAGTTGTGTCAACGTTTGTAACAAAACAATGTCATCTACACCCACCCGGTCCTTATACAGTTGCAATCGTAGAGTATATATATTGAGGACAGGATATATATTGATGTAAATAAACCTTTGTTTCTGTAAAAAATATTATAACAGGGGTATAGAAATTTCACGATAACTCCAGAATACAATATGTCCCTTATGAAGACGCATAACGTTCTGAAGCGTGTCATTGTTCCTCCTATCGATAACTTTCAAACAAATCCGCAACATTCTAAATTCGAAACTGTTTACATAAATATTGACTATAGGTGAGGTTAGGTGAAATTGGGTTTAACGTCGTGCTTGAGAATATTTCGCTCATATGACGACGTGCATGCGTGTGTATGTGTATGTGCGGCTGCTTGTACTAGCCCAGACTTAAGCTGGTTTTATAGTGCTAGCTCACTGAGATACCATGCCGATGTGAAGCATGAATACCCCACTTAGACACATTATACATATTTTACGGAGCCGACCAGTCCTTGTTGTACCCATTAATGCCGAGCGCCAGGCAGGGACCAAAAAGTACCATATTTTAACGTCTTTTGGTATGACGCGGTCGAGGATCGAACCCGCCACCTTCCGCTCTCCGGGCGGACGCTCTAACCACTACACCACGGAGGCGGCCAGTATTGACTATAGATGTGATTACTTACGAACAAAGTTTTTCTGAGATACGATCTCTTGACGAGACGCGACTGGTGTAACAACGCTGTATACCACAAACCCTGCACTAGGGCCTCGTCAACACGGATGGTACACTGCATTATTCAGTTATATATTTGTACTTTTAGTTCTTTTTCGCAGTATTCACATTTCATATTCAATCTCTCATTACCATTCTTTATTATACATTTCAGATGACAGCGTACTTCAAACAGTCGATGGATTCTGTAGTGGATATATGGCCTCGAAAGTTGGCCACTTAACTAACCTTCAGACACATAAGATGGATGGATGGATGAGTGAGTCGATGGCTGGGTTTACATAAATAGGTACCTAGGTTGAAATATATTTAAACAGATAGGTACTAGATAGCTGAACAATAACATACTATTTATATCACCAATAGTAACCGAGCTGTATACCTTATCTAATTACACATCGTACCCGTACATCGCACATATCCTGAAATACCATTCAGCTCATGTTTGAAGTAGTATAGACTTGGAACCATTCATTACATTTGAATAATAAAACAGTTACAAAAACTAAATCACACAAATAATCACAGTCAGCATTGAAAAAAATCCAGTCCTATTCTGATCCAAAAAATATCAAGTGAACATTTCTATAATGATCTATGAGAATTACTTCCATAGCGGTTCGGTGGGTACCTTACAGTGACACATATTAAAATATGACCTTATAGTCGCCGGCATACCTGTAATCGTTGCTGCATAAAGAAAAACACACATCCAAAGACGTATCCGGTTTTTAAATGCCATTTTGTGAGGGTAGGAATCCAGTATCCAAACTTTCAGTCACATCATGCAGTAGTTTATCGCCCCAAGATGGCGTCCTCCATGTAAGTCCGGCGAAGTCACGTCAGATCCTGAGGTCAAAGAGAAACAACTGCCAAAGTTCGTGCTTCAAGCCCTCACCATAAATCAGCCATATATGTGTCGAAACAGGTAGCCCCCATTTGTTTCCATGTAACGACACTCCAGTGTTGTGACTGCAGATATCGTGGCGGCAGAGGTTAACTGCGACACTTTTCTATACCCAGATAACATACAGCGCTGGAAATTAATTACGTACTTGCGATCAGCATGATAAGACGCAAAATTAAGTCTGTTAATTAGAAATTAAACGTTATATTATACTGATGTTTATTTATTTGTAATCCTTTCAAAACACACCAATAAAGATTATAATTATGCATAATGACGACGCATTACCCTGTTTATGTTGTATATATGCATATGCACACATACCGCGCTGTAGGAATTGTTTAATTTGTTTTTATACGTCAAACTGAATAAATTGTCATATATTCATATGTGTTTATTACATTTATGTCAATGTATCACATATAAAAAACGAAAGGTTTTGATAATCAGTTGACAGGTCAAGATAAAGAACAGTGCTTCCCGCCCGCAGCGACATGGAGACATATCTCCAGACAGGAATGCAATGACGTAGCCAAAGTAAACAGTGGATTATATGCAGCCTGAAATAATCTGATAACGTTATGCATTTGAATTGACGAAATTATATGACTCATGTTGATATTCCTGTTGTAATGCGACATAAACACTGACTCCATGAAACTATTTTGTGTGCTAAATAGGCTGTGGGTTCGTTTACTTTATAAGAAATAATTTCCTTATGTAGTTTCTACCAGAAAACAGTTTTCTTGTACCTGCATCAGCTGGAGGACTGAAGAGACAACACGTGGCCATCACCAATTGTTACAAGCAATACACAAGATGGTATCCAAACAGTTTGGTTTTTGTTGTAAATTGCATAAGTAAATGATTGGTAAAATGTTAAATGTGTGTGTTTTACTGTTTCCATGTTTTCCCAACGTCTAAAGCGATATAAAAGATGTTCACGTACATGGTGAAACAATTATTGTGTTCATTAGGCTTTGTGATTTACATAGACCAGTGGCAATACAGAGATTCTTGGACTGATCACTAATTCAGTATAGTGGTGGGCGGAGATACGATTCATTTTATATAAGGCCATATCAATGTTCTAATTTCTTAAGTTTTTCTATTGTGAGATTGAACGGTAACGTTGTTAAAGTTAAAACAATTTGCCTGAAGCCAAGTCACTGAGTCTGAGCACATGCTCCCCCGTTTCAGTCTGGTCCTACAACAATCATGAGGTACTGTGCAAGATATGAGCTGGATTCCCAACAGGGGTATTTGACAGTCGTCATTGATATAAATATCTATACCTCCACTTCAATAGGGCATAATACCTGAGCAAATTCCCTGCAAATCGTCAAACAGCGATATATATAGTTAGATAGAGTTTGCAAAAGGATCCCAACTCTTCTTGTAGACAAAATACATCCCCTCATAGTTTAATTGGAATTTATAGTAACCATGACCTTCAAATATTTATTCAGCAATATTTTGGGCATCCCGTTTATCCATGCAATCTAAGTTACAATCTTCATCAAATACGATGGAAGTACCGTCCATACCTTTAACAAAGCCCAACAGAAGAGTAACCGTGACATTGAGCTGACATAGAACTCAAACAAGCGAGGCGACATCAGCCATGTACAGATTCAATAAGGACGTCTGTGATCAAAGAGGAGGGATAAGAGAAAACAACATGCATCACAATCATGTCTGAATGCTTGACACATTTATTTCCAGTCCCGTAAACAATATCTGTTTATTTGACTTAATCCGGCATCGCTTTACCTACGCGTCATGCTCTGGGACTGAGGTCAGTTTTAATGTCGACTGAATGTCCCGTGTCAACACTACACATCTGGCCTGGCTCTCAAGCACTCTCCCGTGAAATTTATTGCATTCTTCATAAGAGTATACCATTCTTTGAAATGAGAGATCGGGCATGTTATTATGAACGCCCCATCAGTCGTGTAACAGTGGTGTTTGGCCTGTTGCCGTGAAATTATAGAACGTGAAACTTCCTCCATCCTGAAGAAACAGCGGTTCTTCAAATCTCCCTTTCTCTGACATTATGAGAAACAATAATTATGGTGGAAAAACAAGGAAACTGGTGTCAAGGAGTTTGATTATGTGTCTGTTTGTATACCCCATCCAACATTTCTCCAGATATGTGACGTCCACCTGTAAATAATCAAAGCTGAAAAAGACAATGCAGTAATTTCAACTATGCCTGAAACTCGAGTTACGATGACGTGCAGTTCAACAAGTATCCTAGCTTGATCTCCGGGTCCATCAAGTCGTCTCTTACCATCAGGGCAGGTTGTTCGATCGGGGTACACTCTACCCCGGCCATATTATGAATCTTTTACACTATTCAAGTCTCATTCGTTGACATAAGTGGTGTACATGAAAAAATATCATTTGCAGTGATGTGAATTAGGACATTTTAGACTTTAGTAGAGTATACGAAGACACGCTGTTATGGTGTATTTGAAGACCAAATTACAGATTTTGACGTTGATTAATGAGACTACAAATTTGAGGTTGGATACTTTGAGACTGATATACTATATATCATCTGATGCATTGTTTTGATTTGTTTTGTTTGTAAACAGCAACTGACTGACTGCCAATAGAACTCCAGTAGCAGATCCATCAGTGATGACATTTCATTTAGACGTTGGGCATTGTGATGCAGTTTTGTTGACGTGATTCTATCATTAGAGATTTATCGCCTTGATCTCACTGAATCTCCCATAGTCTTGGATGATACAGCATTATATTCCCCTGCGTTATCATTATGTTTGAATTTATCTTCTAGTAGTATTTACAGAAGAGGATAACTTACCGAACTGACGAGATTAATGACAAACCCAGGTCATCTGTCCCTGGTTACGTGATAACGACCATAGTAATGACGTGTCCTTGACGTGACTAATACGTGTACCCTGGATAAAACATTGGGACTACACTATGTTATGTGTTCTCATCCTGACAGAGCTGGAATATGTCTGGAAATGTTCTTGAAATGGCATCATTCTCAGCTTGGATTTTTTAAGTATTATAGTTCCAGACTAATTCACACCTACGATTTTATAGCATATCGTTGTTCTTACTTAATAAGTTGATATTAAATGCAAATGTCTCCATCATAATTAGTAAATGTCAGTCTATATATTTACTGCACAAACACACACACTCCGTTCTCTGACCCTGCTAATCGGTTGTACTTGACGTGACTAGCATAGACTCGTGTGGATAAACCCTAATATATGGTGGTAAGAGATAGCGCCACATTCTGGAAACCCTGGCTGGTTACTCGGTGGTAGTAATGTATTCAGCCACACAACTAGAGTCTAGTGTTGAGGCAAGTTGTTCTCTGTTGTGAGATATCATTACGGAAATATGCAGTTGCCTTAGTTTCAGTCTCTAAATTGCAAAGAGTGCTGGTATTTAATGAACACAAGGCGTATAATCCTTCCAGAGATGACTTCCTTATTAAAGAAAATGAGATAAAAATACTCATAGGTGACCCTATAAAGACTGAATTTAAACTCTTAAATATTAAAACTGTATTGAAATGTATGGTCTATATCCATAGATTAATGTTGATAAAACTTATTTAAGAATGGAAGACATCTAACAATGGCAACATTGTCCCTGTGTCCGAGCATCAGCTTGTTCAGTGTAGACACTGGAGACAGAACACCTTGATGCTCGCTGTCTATTAATGCCCCTCATGTTGTGTGAATGTGTTGGGTACACACGTTGGGCTATATGTATCAACAAATCGGGGGTTCGCGGACTGGGGTATTGCAGGACAAATAACAGATTTCGCGGATTATGCGTCAAAGTTACATCAATAAAATATTTTCCACTGTCTTTTGTGACGCTTGTCTTGATGACAATTACAGAACTTCTACATTCTTACAGGGAATGGTAGCTTCAGACATACAGCGCATTGTTAAAGCGTTCACATAGGATCACATTCATAACTAGACCGTTTTCATGTTTTCGTGCTGCTGCTCACTTTATTGCTGCAACGTTCAGAGAGTATTTACCTCGTGTAAACAATGCATAACACTTCCAGCCAGAGACGTGCACTAGGTTGTAGATGACGATGACAATGTGAATATTGGTACACCGACAGAACCGATTTAGCATGGACAATATATAACATGGTTCAATCAACCAAACATCTTACCTTACATCAGTGTCCTGTATTCCTTCAAATGTTACGTCGTGTTATCATGGACACGTATATATGTCACAGAATACCTCCGTAATCTAAAGTCTCAGTCGTTATTGGCCAGTTTCTTGTTCGGTCGAAGTGCCCAACCTATCGATCGGTTTCGCTGATGTTTCGTACTACAGTGAAACAGCAATACCGTGAAGCTTGTTATTAATATCCTGACTCGTGATATGGGGCTATGAAATATCTCCTGATATGCTGATGTGTTCGGTAAAGGTTCAAAAACAAGTATTATATTATATGTAGTTGATAATTGTGACAATATGTTTGCAAACACACACTCACTCACTCACACGCTCGCACACTCACACACTCACTCACTCACTCGCACTATCACTCAATCACTCAACAACTCAATTACTCAGTCAAGCACTGGTAACAACGCTCAAAATTTACACACCGCGTACAGAACCAACATGCACTTAAAATGTAAAGTGTAAATAAACGTGTATAATGATAAATATAGCGGTCTAAGCGCTGTAAATACATGTTTAAACTCGAAAAGGTACGGTTTTGGTATCGTAATATACCTCCGCATACATGTTTGAAAGATCATGTTTGTGTTGAAAATCAAATTAACTTCCATAGTTACAAGACAGGTGGTATACCGAAACTTGTTTATATTTAGAAAGAGTTTTACCAGCCAAGTTTAAACCCTATATTCAAAAGTAGCAATAACCAATAAACGTTTCCCCTGAACAAACAGAAAAGGGTCATTTGTAATTTGTATTGTAAGTACTGCGACATTACCGCGGGGTAGACGTTAGCCTACAGTTCTGTTTTTTTAAGGATACCGAGTCACGCTATATTAGATGTGTTTTATAGCGGTGTGGGAACCTGTAGACTATAGGCCGGCGTGGTCGGCCTATTAACATCTCCACACAATCGTGTACTTTGCCATATGGTTTTGATCCTCTATATATAATGTGGCTAGTGGCCCAAGTACTTTTATTACATCACGTTGGTTTTATTCTCCAAAACGTATAATTTGCTGCGTGTTACTGAACATAAGGGAGGTACTTGTCCCTGTTCTCTATCTCGGGTTATCGTTATCTTCAAAGCCTATAACTATTGTATACACAGTTCTCAAGGCGGGATATTAGCCTAATCTGTATATCAATGATAGATTTACACAATAACCGGAACAAACGGGTCCGGACAAAACAAACACTGTCTTAGATATATTTACGTGTTGTTTTCTTCAAAGTATAGGGGTATTGTCACAATCGTTTCTAACGTAAAAGAAATAAAGCAGGTGAAACCAGTTTCCTGTATGTATCCTACACAGTGATGAAACCTTAGTTAACGATACATTTTGTTCTGTGTATGTCAAGGCAATTTAAACACACCATCCATGAGTACATTATCAGTAGTGTTGGATTTTAATATCTGAATATACGTACATTGTAAAGTAAGGTCAGTTGCAAACTATTGAAATCTGTATCATTCAATTTAAAAATCCATCGAGATTATAATTATCACACATGACAGCGACTGATGAATTTAAACGCCAGGTCGAATATCCTCCGGAACAAATTTCACAGGGCGTACATGGCCCATTGAAATTAGTGATGACACATGGTGAAACAGGGAAAGCACTGAAATGAATAGTTATTATATTCTGGTAAACAGGAACATCATTATACTTAGGAATGTAAACTACTGCGGCACAAATAAACGACATACAACATTCGCATCTCTCTCTCTCTCTCTCTCTCTCTCTCTCTCTCTCTCTCTCTCTCTCTCTCTCTCTCTCTCTCTCTCTCTCTCTCTCTCTCTCTCTCTCTCTCTCTCTCTCTCTCTCTCTCTCTCTCTCTCTCTCTTGTATTGTCCCAAAAGGAGAATGATATAGCACAGATTACCTCGGTAATCTAAACTCACAGTCATTATTGCACAGTTGCAGACTTGGTCCAGAAAAATAATCTATCGATCAGTGTTGTCGATATCCCGTACTATAGTTAAACAACGACATCTGGAAGCCCGGGCTGGAAAACGACAAGCACATGTAATAAATATCCTGACTTCTTTATGAGGTTGCGTAATATATCCTGACATGATCAAGTTGTTTTTTGATAAATGGCTGTAAATCCCGATGTTTAGTTAGTTACACCTTGGTGTAATTTTTTTCCTCAAAATCACTGACTGTTTAAAGCGAACTTAGATCGCGGACAGACTTGAATACAGTGTGCTGTTGGTATTGCTGTGTTTATGAATTGTATATATAACCATGTGCTTGTGGGTTGCTGTGTAGGTCGAAGCTTGTGAATCCCTTTGAGGTTGGGTATTGTGGGCCAATGTTCTGGTACTCTGATATGTCAGTGTAGCAGTGTTCTGGTGTTCTGATATGTCAGTGTGCCAATGTTCTGGTAATCTGATGTGCCAATGTTCTGGTGCTCTGATATGTCAGTGGGCCAATGTTCTGGTGCTCTGATATGTCAGTTGGCCAATGTTCTGGTGCTCTGATGTGCAAATGTTCTGGTGGTCTGATGTGCCAATGTTCTGGTGTGTCAGTGTGACAATGTTCTGGAGTGTCAATGAGCCTATACGACAGCGTGCTAATGTTCTGGTTTTCTGTTGTGCCAATGTACTGGTGTGTCAGTGAGCATCTGTGTCTCTCTGCTAATGTTTTGGAATTCTGGTTTGCCAGTGTGCATTTGTGTCTCTCTGCTAATGTTTTGGAATTCTGGTGTGCCAGTGAGCATTTGTGTCTCTCTGCCAAAGTTTTGGAATTCTGGTGTGCCAGTGAGCATTTGTGTCTCTCTGCCAAAGTTTTGGAATTCTGGTGTGCCGTGTCTCTCTGCCAATGTTTTGGAATTCTGGTGTGCCTGTGTGCATTAAGTCGGTGCCAATGTTTTGGTGTGCCAGAGTGTCTACAGTCTCTGTTACTTGGTGACGTTGCACATTATCTGACCTGCACGTCTCTCGTAGACGAGTGGTTCTAATTAAACTTTTGTAAGTTGTTGTAATGTCCCGAAGATCATACATTCTGAGTAATCCGTTCAGTTGGTGTTACAGTCCAGGTTCGTGGTTTTGGTGTACAGACGCCCTTGTTTCGTTATTTCAGCAGATGTTTAGAGATATTCGTTGTGAATGACAGACTTTATATGAGGTGAATCTAGAATACCCCTGGAAGCAGAACCCTATTTAGTTTCTTCTATAAATGATAATTCATATCGCGGTATTGATTTTGAAAGTGATTGAGTGAGTGAGTGAGTTAAAGTTTATAGTCACAGTAGCAGTATTTCAGCCATTAATTAAATTTTGAAAGCAAAAGGGTATTTCAAATGTGAATACCCAAACGTCTTTTTGCACCTATAGATACAAGGACGTTCATCATTTCACACATACTGGGCCATCTACTGATACGTAGATGGCCTTTTAGCGGTATGTACCTTATTTATATATTTTGTATATCGCCAGACTTTCGTCACTACAGCCTGTCAACCTAACTTTTGGGACTGCATTTTTTACAAAAATCTTTTTCGTTATTCGTTTCAGTGTAAAAGTGTTTACTATGGATTTTGAGTCGTTTGTAAACCTCGAGGGAACATCTCAACACTCAAAACAATACTTATTCAGTCATCTCCAGAGAGTCCCGCCTCGAAATCCGACTGGTCAGTCCGTATCCGAATCTAACTTGATTCACACGAGTTACCCTGAGTCCATCTTTAACCCAGACTTACACAATGCTGCCAAAGATTTGCTGTTATTTTGGAAAATTCTGAATTTACAATGCGTTTGACGTCCTTCAACTTAAAAGTTGTATTTTGTTCGGCAACTTTTTCTTTCAAATTTCACCATATCAACTAGTAGGGTTTAGGCCACAATGGTAAGGGGGTAGGCGTAACGCATGGCCATGTGCCTTCAGGAGAGAATGTGTGCTACAATCATCTTATAAAGTTTTGGTTTGGTTGCCTTCTCAGGATACTGCAGATCATGCTTCGGCAGCCATGAAACTATTACTGTTTTCCTGGAAGCGAAGGTTGGTGTTTTCTGGCAGATCAGGTAGCAGCTGTTCTGTTACATACCCCGTGACGACAGTGTTCATTTCTGTGTGATAGTCTATACCATCTCTTGACTTTGACCTGAACACAAGGTCACATCCAGGTTAAAAAACCTAAATGCGATCCCGCATGAACAATTATAAGTCTTTCCACTTTCCCTGGTGGTAGTTTTCTGTTCTGGTGAGTGAGTGAGTGAGTAAGTAAGTGAGTTTTGGTTTTTCGCCGCGTTTAGCATTATTCCGGCGAGCGACTCAGAAATGAGCTTCACACATTGTACCCATGTGGGGAATCGAACCCGGGTCTTCGGCGTGACGAGCGAACGCTTTAACCACTCGGCTTCCCCACCGCTCCTTTTCTGTTCGGGCCAGAATCAGAGTGCTGCTACTGGTATGCTGGTGTGTGATTAGCATTAATCCATGTTTCATCGAGGTATATTAATTCATAACCTCCTGCTCGTTTTACTGCATTTGTACGTAAATAGTTTGTTCTCATTTGTACAAAGTCAGATTTTTACAAAGTGACAGTGTTGTACTGGATACACGCTTGTATCCGAACCCAAACTTCACAAATAGTGTACATGCCTTGTATCCTCAGAGGGAGATATCATTTTCGTCCTGAAGAATCTTCTCAAGTTTTCGTGAAACCACATGTTCATTTCTTTGATGGAATCGTCTTATTATATCTCTCACCACTCTGAGATCAAAAGTATACAACACATTTGAACTTCTGGGTTTTGAGACGGACCCCAGGTTCTTCGGATCCATTGATGAACTCTCAGGGGAGATAATCCTGTACAATGTTGTACGTAGTATGTTCAAGGCCTTCAACGTTCTGTTTGTAAATGGTTTTATTGAGAACAAGGGAACACCCCTTTCAGCTTCCTTACTGAAAAACGCATAAACGCTTTTAATCATGGTCTTTGCGTCGTGGGACAACATATTTCACGTGCCTGTCCTGGGTCAGTGATTGTGATTTGCACACGATGACACAAGAGTAAATCTGACCCGAGGTCATGCGCGTGAAACACCTGTCAGACATTATATCACTTGAATGAGTTGATCAAAACAATCGCGAGAAAATAATGACAGTTATATTGGTAATTTTTTAA